GGACGAGCGTCGTCGTGGTGATGACCTGCGGCTGGCCGTCGCCCAGTGGGACGACCAGTGTCGTTGTGATGATCCGGGTGCCGACCACCGTCTGGGTGGCGTCCTGGCCATTGCCGTTCTCGCCGCCGCTGCCGCAGGGAAGGACGAGAATATCGACCGGCGAGCACTGGGCCGCCGACCAGCGGTCGTACAGGTTGTAGAAGGTGCCCGATGCGCACTGCCAAAAAGTGGCCGAGGAGCCCAGGGCAAGCGAGCCGTTGGTGCACACAGAGAAGCCCCCCGTGTACAGGGCCCCGGACTGGGGTGGATCGTCGAACTGGAACTGGAAGTTGGACGCGATGTAGCCGGTGCGCCCTTGGTCGTCGGTCAGCACGCCGTCGGCGAGCTGGACCACCACCGTGCCACCACCAGAGCAGGTAGCGCGGTTCTGTGGGTTGGGGTTGTCTGGTTAGCGGCCGTTGCCTGCCCAGCATGTGTTCGATCATCACGGCGCGATGTAGGAGCCACCGCATTGGTCCTCGGGGGTTACTGGGTCGACCAAGGCCCAGGCCCCCCCTCAGAGTCATGGGTGTCATACGATCGTGAGGTCAGTCGGGAAATGACGTACCGCAAAAAGTGAGTCCCTCTTGGCCTTCCCGGCGAGCGGGACGACGGTGATCTCGAACCGCCCGTCCGCGTTGGGCTGGCAACCCGCGGGGGCATCACCCTCGGGCGCGACCTTGTCGGTTACGCCCTGCGCGATGGCCAAGGGCACCATCGCCAGGAGGGCGAAGAGCTGGAATCGCATTTTTCCGGTTCTTGTTTATCTTGTCTTCTGGTTTTTTTCTTCGAAAAGCAAGTGCTGTCAGCCTCGGTGCTTTTTATCTCAGCTAGTTGTTAGAAGGGGTCACCTACGATGAGAGAGATGCCCACAGGCAAAGAGCGGTGTTTCCTTGTGCTGGTGGTTTGTTGGTGTTTTCCTTCCAACAAAATTGGAAATTGGAGTGAGGGAGGGGAAAAAGAGAAGAGAAGATCGTCGCCGAAAAGAACAAGTTAAGCTTCTCAGAACTTATGCGGGTCTTGCTTTCGCGTCATTTGCCGCCTAATGTGCGACTCAGTTCATTGTTGTTAGCATTCTAAGAGAGAACCTCGTCGGCGTCACAGGCTCGGCATCAAGCCGGGGCGGGGGCGGGACGGATGGCCTACCCCTGTCATGAAGAGGCTGGTGCCGGCCGGCCTGCAGGTGGATGCATTGGCTGGTGTCGATCCTTGCATTCGATCTCAATCCCAAGCCAAAGACGACGGATGACGCCCACATCTTGGGCTGGATTGGGTAGCCGACCTTGGGAAACGTTGATCCCTTCCTTGATCGTGCAGAGGTTCATGATTCTGCACTCACATACTTGCGGTATGGATTTGATACAGGTGCGGGCTTGCTGCCACGAATGCTTGGTGGTTATGTAACTAATGCCGTAATGCATCTGCTGGGAGCCACACATGCAGTGGCCTAGAATCATTCAGGGGTAATTGAAAGCAGAACAACACAACCTTCCTTTGTTCCAAGTCAGCTGTCTTCCTAGGCAGATTCACCGCCTGTTCCTGTCTGCTAAGCAATTTGGCCACAGCGAGGGGTTCCATTTGTTGGGAGATTCATGGCACTGAAAACCTTTGAGCTTCAATGACCTCATGACTGCCAACAGCCTGGCGCTATTGATCTGTTGGTACCTTGAGACCAACAAGAACTTGTGGCAAAGTTACACAGACGGACAGCTGTGCTGCTCTGATCTGGCAGGCATTGAAAGCCAAAGATTATTCGGACCAATGGTGCGAAGTTTGCAACTTTGAGATGGGCGAAAACGAGAAGGGACTCGAAGCAACTAGAATAGGAATTTTTCAAAGGACTACTGAATCGGGCGTTGATTTGACATTATGGGTGGTTGACTTATGCTTGTCATGACATGGCATTCATGGTCGAGCTGGGGCTTATTTTCATCTGACCATTCCATCACAGTTACTTTGTTTGTACATAACCAGGTAATGTCATACTGAGTGTGTTGCCGGCGGCTGCCAGGGCGCACAACCTTACCGTCTGGTGTCTCACAAGCAAAGATGAACGACGAAACTTTAAGGTCAGCCTCCACTAGTTCCCAAATAAATGTACACATCATCGGCTGATTCCCCTGAGAACCTTACCCAGAAACCGCAAAGCCAACCTGACCATGGTTGGCGACGCCCAGGTATTCACAATCCATGGTCACGGCGTGCCCTTGCGAGACTTGAACTTCAACGTATTCCAACACCAAACGCCTGCTCCTAACGAAGAACATGCATGCCCAGTCTAAACCACAAAAGGCCATGCAACCTCTGCAAGTAAACCAGTCCCCAACCCGACCCATCGCCATAGTATCATTAGGTTCCCAACCCTTCATCAGGCGCGTCATCAACACTCCGCGCACCAACGCATCAACCATCCCAACTTCATCCCCCCACCATCCATCATAACCCCACACACCGCCCTTCCACTACTAATGCGGCTACTGCGGCGGGTAATACGGCTGACCCTGCACCGGCGTCCCATGCGGGCTATACATCTGCTGCTGCTGATACTGCGCCGGGTCCGGATATGCACCATACGGCTGCTGCTGCTGCTGGGGGGGATAAGCACCGGCAGGGGTGTGCTGATGCTGATGCTGCTGTGGGGGATATGCAGTCTGCTGGGCGTAGGCGGTGTCGGGCTGCTGCGGGTACATGGTCGACTGGTACTGCTGCTGGTCGGTGTACTGCGGGTGGGCGGCGGCGGTGGTGGTGGTGGTGGTGGTGGTGGGGGGCTGGTGTTGCGGTGCTAGCATCGGGGTGCCTTGGGCCTTCATCTCGACGGTGGCGTTGTCGGTGGAGGGCGTTTTGTGCTCTTGGTGCCAGAGGCGGAAGGTGTGGCCGTGGAAGATGAGGGTTGCGAGGAAGAGTAGCCTAGGGGGAAGAAGGGGCTGGTTAGAAGGGGGGTTGGCTTTGGTGCGTTTGTGGCCAGGGGCGGGGCTTACCACTCCAGGGCGCTCACGCCGGCAATGGCGCTGATCAGCGCGAGGCCGACCGGCCCGGCGACGGCGGCTCGCTTGGAGACGGTGCAGTGGTTGCTGTTGATGGCGCTGCCGTCGTTGAAGCAGGACTCGACGTTGACCGGGACGTTAAAGCTCGCACGCAGCTCGGCGTTGGCGCCCAAGGACGCGAGCCAGAAGATGACCATGGTCAGGTCAAGCGACAGCACGGCCCAGATGTTGTACGCCCCACGAGCAGACGCTACCTTCTCGGTTATGAGCGTGTAGCTGACAATGATCCACGTGAATACGACCTGTGGACCGAGTTAGAATGCCGGTTCTCACAGGCGGCGACGCATGATGTCTGTAGGAGGTGCTTATAACGGGACTTACACAAGCGACCGCAAAGCCGTTAGCACCCAAGGCTTTCCCATGGATCAGGACGCCAGCCATAATGACGGTGACGAAGCTGAAGACGATTTGAAGGGCGCGCACGATCACCACCCAGAGGGGAGTCTGCTGGATGTACTGTTCCTTCTCATCGTGTACGGCTGCTGTGGGTTCGGCATACGCCTGTTGTGGCATGGTGGCGGCAGCCATTGTCGGTAAGAGCCGGCCTAGCAGTATACGCGCTTTTGAGGATGGATTCTACCGGTCCGGTCGTTACTATGATGCTGTTGAGGCACTGAGGAAAACAAATGGGAAAACGGGGGAGCGACCACTTTTACATAGCCGCCATTAGAAGGGCTGGAGCGCCATGTGGAACTTTTGAACCAGCAAACGGAGCATCCTCCCCTTCTTCTGCAGCAGAGCCTCACACTGCCCAACGCCGGCCAAGGCAGAATCCCTCCCGCAGGTGGTCCCGGATCCAAAGCGGAAATGGCACGTTGCTAGTGATCTCAGCCGCACTCTCGATGCGACAGTCCCACCCCACAGCGGTAAAAAAGGCCGCGGATAACCACAGCCGCCTAATTTTCTTTTGATAGGGGCTTTCATCGTTCTCGGGCGGGCAGAAATCGTAAATATGTGTACCTAAATCCGTTGGAGTGGTCACTTCCCAGGCCCAAACGCGCTCCTCTTGTCCACCCCTTTCATTGTGAGGGATGGACATGTCGGCGGCAACGCTGGGCCCAGACCACGGCCGAACCCGCACAAGCTTCCAGCGGCACGACGCAAATATCGGTCTTGGCGGCAGGGGTAAGCGAGAATTCCCCAAACGGTGTCACCTCAATCCTGGGGGGCAGGGCGCTTGGGGCCTCGTGGTGCCACGCTTGACGTTCTCATTGGAGGCAGCACCGAGACCCCTCGCGCTCAGCCAGACTGTCTCATGCGGCTCTCAACATTTGGCTTGGACGGGAAGATCTTGGTTTGGGCTTATTTTAGCAAACCTGAACGCCATGCAGCAACCCCGTTATCGCTCTTGTTCAGCCCCGGAACTGCCGGTGCCAGACCAGGCTTGCATCCCGATCATGATACCAACACTCGGACAACTGAAAATGAGCTTGAATACGGTCCTGTATGTTTCCATAGGTGCCGTCCGTTGCGGTTTTAGGCTACCTACTTTGGGCTTGGTCGTGGATTTGCAGCTCCGACTTGTTAGATGGTTTACGTGGGCGGAGAGATGCTCCGGAGAGCTACATGTATCTGACACTCATTCCCTATCTCTGTTATCTTGTACTTGAATACCCTCCTCTTCCCTTTCTCCGTCGGGATCTTTACCAGATCGGCGCACTTCCATCGGATCTTCCTGGGATGGCTTTGCCTCCTCAACAGCAGATGGTGGCAAAAGCTTTGTACATACAAAAAGTACACGGGCTTCCATCGCCGCTTCGCCGACCCTGAGATATCCCATCTCGCGTACCTATCATTCAAAGCTGTCCACGAACGTTGAGTCGTCCTTCTCACCAAATTTACCACTATTATCATGGAAAGCCGTTTTTGTTTGTGCTACAACGAAGGCCCCGTGTCTCCAAATTCGCCGTTGTGAGTAAATCGGAAGTTGTCTTCAGCTTACCTGTCCCGATATTGGCGGAGAGTAAAGCCGTCTGCCAGATTGGTAAGGTAACCTCCCCAGTCCGGCTGCGTCTATGGTGGGCCGCATCGCGGAATGATATGGGTCACCAGGTTACGCAAAATAACTCGAACACACCGTCCTGTGTGCACTGGCAACATGAAGTGGCAAATCGACGTCAGAATCACCGTCGGGTTATTTACAAAGGCATCATCTGACCTCGTACCTGACTCGGTGCCCCTGAGGTCAGGGTGGTCTACAGTATATGAGCCCACACCGTTCTCCCCCTCCCCCGCCTGGCCTTCCCAGGCCACTTTCCCTTTTCCCGCTACATGTACTGATCGTCACCCATCACGCCTTCTCAGTACATCAACCATTCTTGAATGACGGACGTCAGAAACCATGACATCCAAGTCCCTTCCCAATTTTGGCCCCTGGGGTGACAACGGAAATGGCAGCGGTAGCCAAACGGAGAATGCATCACGCAATAGCGACGTCCTTTCGCCCAAGGAGAGCCTGGCGAACTTCAGCCCACCGGCAACCCCAACACCGGCAATCTCAACACCACCAAGCACAACGGGAAGCTACGACGTTAAAGGAGACAACCGGGAGCTGGTACAACCAGAGCGCTCACAGATTTTCCGCAAATATTTCAGCGCTGAAAGTAGCGAGGGCCAAGGATGGGCAGTACTATGTTTGAGGATGACTCCGGACCCCGGGGCGCGGTGTTATAAAAAGGCGCCGTGGGCAGCTCTTCTTGAGGTCAGAACCGCCGATATGCCCCGCTTAATGCGCGATGGCTTCTTCTGGTCAGCCGAGAATATCCTCCCCGAAGAAGGACACGTTTCCAGAGAGACCAGCCCGTTATGGGCAGACTTCGGGTTCTACCATAAACGTACCTGGGTTCTTGCCGATAGGTCCAACGACGAGGTTCCTAGATGGGTTGGATGTCTTCACATCTTGACCCCTTCCTTTGAGATCCTCCCAAGCTTCCAGGTCCAACAGTTGAAACCGGAGAATGTATATGCTACATCAGTATGGGACGGACTTGGGCATCTCATCTACGACTATGCTTACAGCTCGCCACAACTTAGCTTTAATTGTCTTTACGGCGATAGGCCCCTTCTAGGCTGGTGGCCGTGGCCAAGAGAAGAAGCGATGGACCGTGTGGGTGAGCGATCTCCGCACCTCTGCGTCGGTGGCTCTCAGCCTTGCCCGTCTCCGGAAGCCTTTCCCGTACCCCCGGAACCTCAACATCTTCAACATCCTCATCAACGGTCGACGAGTTGTGTCATTTTGTAATATTGGGAGACCCTCTTACTCTCAAGGACCAGCTGCCTATAACCCCTAACTGAAGATGTTGACAAATTCCATACGGTGGCCGATACTAACAGACGTCTGGTGTTGGTTGGGAAGGGGCGGAAGACGATACATATGGAGTGGAATAATTTTTTCTTGATGTAATGTAGTCTTTATAAGTGGGAATGAGTTGCCTAGCAGCCCTGGCACTTTGGGTTTTGCGGGGCCTCTCCCTTCTGCGTTGTGTATCTCGGAATGTCGATAACCTGGACTCCCCGGAGAGTCTACGTCGATGGTAGGTATATTGTTGAATAAAGTAAAATCTCGTGGTAGTCCATGCCCTGGCAACATTATCTCGTTGGCACTGACAGACAGACAGCTTGACCACACGTTTTACTGGTTCCAGCGACCAGCTTGCACTCAACTGGCAAGTCCTGACTTTGAAGTCCCCCTTCCCACCTACACACTTCGAGAAGTAAGGCAGGTAGGCGCTAGGCGCCTACGTTTTGAGCTGAGCCTTCCGTCGGGCTGGTGAAATACTGGCAGCCACGCAGGGGAGCGACTTGAGATGGAAAGAGCAAACCTGAATCGCGGGCTTTTAAAAGTGATGTCTCCCGCAATCTGAATCTTCTCCTTTCTTTTCCCACCACAAACCTTGCAAAATAAAAATGAACCTGTTCCTTTACTCCCATCAAGCAATATCCAAAATAGAAATTTAAAACATGCCTGCGTAAGCTTCTGGGTCTGGGCTAATGTCATGTCGCCGTGTGCTTTGAGTCTGACCTTCGAGGATCTAGCATCCAGTTCACGTCTGGCCCTTTGGCCTCCACCACCCGCTGCCGGCCTCCACCCAACCGTCCGATCCGGCCGCCGTAGCCGCCGCCGCCACCCCCCTTCGGCCTGCGGAAACCCCCGTGGCCCCTACGGCGACCACGGTCAACTTGGATCCCTCCCCACTTCCCACAAGGCACTGTAAGTCGATACCGCCTCCAGCTTCTGCACATCATCTTTCCTAGGCTGTTCTAACGCCGTCTCCGCACTCTAGCCGACACTGAGGGGGAGGGGGAGGGACTCCAGAATGGGGGGTTGCCCGCGGGAGGGAGGGGGGGAGGGGGTTCTCGGCGGTGGGGCGTCTGGACGCGGACACGTCGGGTGGGTGGCTGGCGGCTTGGGTGGCGTTGTGCCTGTCGCTGGGGCCATGGGCGGTGATGGCTGCGATTAAGACTAAATCTGGTGCATTAACGACAGAAATAACTACATGGTCCTGTTGGGCGGTTCGACGTTGCTGTGCTTCTTGTGTTGCGATGTAATAATCTCCGCTCGTGTGGACGAAGTCATTTGTGTGTTATGTGAAGGAAAAGGAAGAAGAAAAAAAAGAAGACGAAAAAGAGTTGGGGAAAAGACGAAAAGGGCTAGACAGTGAACCATTCTGTATTTTTTTATTTTCTTTCGGCATATCTACGATCCTCGTGCTCCCATCCTCTCCGTTCTCAATCTGTTCTCCAGAGCAACAAATGCTACATACCGATTTATTAACTCCCAAGATAGGAAACAACCCAGGTAGGTTCCAGCCCCCTATTCGCAGCCAAAATAACCACCTCAAACAACGACAGTCTCTTTCCTTGGCCCATCAAGCCTCCCACGCGACAAACTCCCAAAGCATCGGCACCCAACAACCCTCACAAATTCAAATCTCAATCTCGGGCGTCCGGCGACGATACTCCAACCTGACCGTCGGGTCCGCGCGCAAACTAAACGCATAGTGCAGCACCCGCGGCGTCGGCGCCCCCTCGGGCAGGCGCCAGTCATACTTCAGCAGCAGGTGGACCAGAACGACCTTGGCCTCGTTGGACGCAAAGAAGCGGCCGGGACAGGCGTGCTTGCCGTGTCCGAAGCCCAGGTGCTCCGGGCTGGTCGTCACCAGCTGTGCTGCGTTTTCTTGTCCTGCCGTTTCACGCATGCGCAGGAAGCGGCGACCGTCCCATTGTTGTGGGTTTGGGTAGATGGTCGGGTTCCACATGTTTTGGGCGGTGACGGCGATGGTGGCGTTGGCGGGGACGAAGGTGCCGTCGGAGAAGTGCATGGGTTCGGAGGTCATCCGGCGGAGGGAGACTGTGGTGTGGGTGGGTGTGTGAGTATGGGGGGAGGGGCGTAGGAGGACAGGGGTGCGCTTACCGATACCGGTTGGCTTGATTCGTAGACTTTCTTTGATGACGCTGTCGAGGAGCTTCATGTTGTACAGTGAGGTCTTCTTCCATCCGCCTTCGGAGAGGGCCTGGACCATTTCTTGCCGTAGTTCGTCAATAATCTCGGGGTTCCGGCACAGGTCCGTCATGACTTGGGTAATGAGATCAGTCGTGGTGTGGATGGCGGCGAACGAAAGGGTCAGTTGCACCACGACTGGGTCGTAGGCCCTTCCCTTAGCCTCACGCTCGAACCTGTCACGCGGGGTCGTATTAGTGAGAATACCTTATATTACGAGTAGCATGTGCAACGACCTACCATTCAATCGCATCATCAAACTCAACCTTCTCCCCACGCTGCTTTCGCGCCCGCCTCTTGCTGATCACTCCATTCAGCACACGGCGGGCCTCCCGGACATCGGCCCTGGCACGGGCGCAGGAGGGCATGAACCAGTGGACCAGATATCTCAGGGGGGCAGGCCATAGCCGCAGTTCATCCGCCGCCCGGAAGCCGTCCACCGTGTACTCGCGAGTGACACGAAGCCAGTCTTGGTTCCGGCAAAGCTCTTCGCCGAGGAACACGCGGGAGGAGACCCGGGAGACAACACGGAGGAGGGTCTCTCGCAGCGGTGCTGTGTTCCATGCTGTGGTGCCTCATTAGCGGGTTTTCGAGACAACTCATAGGTGTTTCCGCGACTGCTTCTTACCTTGACCATTACTAGCGGGATACTGTTCCTCCACGGCCAGCGTGGTTTCTTCGGCGAGAGGCTCGGTCACCTTGTCTGTTTTAAAGAAGAGACTTGTTAGCCCTGATACGGACAAATGTACCTACGTTTGGGAATGGCCTGTCCTCAAGCCTGTTACTTACTCAGATACTTGGTAAGGTCTTTCACGATGACATCCTGAACAATATGAGACTCCCGGCTACCCTCACGGAAGCCCTCAAAGCCGGGAAGATGAGCGTGGAAAGTCTGTGTGTATACGATTAACCGCCTGCACCTACACACGCTTCTGACAAGAGCAGGATCGGGGCGCACCTTGAAGACCCACCGCGAGAAGCTGAGGCGGGGGTCGTTGCGAATCTCGTTGGTTAGATGCGGCGGCAGGATCGTCACCTCGCCGGCGTCGCCAATGACTCGCGCCGGTTTGTCGGGATGGTCACGGAACCAATCGCTCAGCATGGAACGTGAACCGAACAGGAATTCCTTCTTGGAGCGAATGTCTGTGACCTCGAGCAGCTTCCGGGGGTTGAGGTGGGGGATGTTGCTGGCCGACTTTTGCCCCAGAAACAAGAATATAGCCGCCAGCGCAAAGGCCGCGGCTAGGAAATAGGGGGCCGGCACTGGGATTGTTGTAGGGTCATCGACCCAAGCCCGAAGCCCCTCGAAGGAGGCCACGCCGGGGAAAGAGCTTGGTTGGGCCATCATTTCTGGTTGATGTACCATGCAAGTGACGTGAGATTCGGACAGGGAGAAGCAAGGCACTGCAGGTGTAGTGATCAGGACGGAGATAGGTGCCGATGGGCGTCGGCCACACCTTTATATAGCAAGCGTATGTTGTACAGTGAGTGCACACTGGAATGTTATACATGTACCGGCTCGGACAGTTCTAGTCTCCCGTCTCTTGCTCACCCTACCTTCTATGACCACGTCCAGAGACGATCCCAACTCCGTCTGGATCACAATGAGGCCAGTCAGGCGACATATTCCAGGGTAGATGCCCTCTAGTGCTGTCAGAAACTGATTCTGCCTCCCTGGTGATTGGGTGTTTGTGTGTAAACCGAAAGCGAACACTCCACGACACGGACCGGGATGCACAATTGCCGGACAGGGGATAAATATTTGCATAACTGTGCATAAACCAAGTACAACCTGTGGATAACATGGCTTGGCAGTCTTGTGCTTTGCATAAATGCACAAGGAGAGACAGGCATGTCGGGAATGACACGGCTCCTCGCCCGGCGACGGGTATCTCCGTGAATGCGCAAGAAAGGTTGTTTAAAAAATGTAGACTAGGTAGGGACGCTAATTCTAGTGTCAAATCGGAAACTGAACGCATATTTTACAGGTTCAGCTGAGCGGGGGCTAAGCGGGGAACACCGGTGACATAAAAGAAAATAAAAGGAAAGTAGAAAAGCAGAAAAAGAAGGAAGGCAATTCGGCAGACCAGGCGAGGAAATCGGCCCAGCACCATCAGACCCTGCCGTCTAACAACGTGTTTCAAGGATTGGTATCTGCCCAACCGTGTGTGGGATAGTTTTAGACCTCTCTCTGAGGTTGATCAGATGAGGAGTTGGCTACGAGCCACGAGACAAACAAAACAGTATGGTACATGTATCCTCTTGGGGCGGGAAGGTCGTCTCTACAGTCAAAAGCAAGAAACTGTAATCGCAGTAAAAAAAGGGGCATTGCATGAGATATAAAAGCCTGGGGTTATTGTAATCACTGCATTACATGTAGGAACTGTTCCAATGTTGTTTCCATTTCCTTGTAACCGACACTCTTCCAGTTCCGGTAAGCCAACCGCTTCGCCGGCAGGGTTATCTCGTCGCTCTTCCAGTACCACCGCATCACGGCCTGGGACTTGCCGCCACTAATTGGTGAATGAAGAGAGTACGCTCACGCGGGAGATCTCGTACCGTCGTACGCACTTGAGCACTCCCAGCACACGCGCAAGGTCCGAGTGGACGTTATCATCCTGCTGGAACATATATTTTCAGTCGACATTACAAGCAAATACGGAGTCAGCAACTTAAGATCCAAACAAAACGGGCTAAGACACAGCCTCCTTCCACTCGTTTTATCATCTTCGGCCAGTCCGACCCCCCTCCCGCCACCCATGGCACACCCAACTCCATATCGTCAACAACAGCAGAGTAGGTACCTAGGTACCTAGGCACATGTAGGTAGGTACCTAGCTATCATCACCCACACCGGCAGCCACATCCCTAAACCACAAAAAAAGAACAAACACTACATGGCCCGTGCTCCACAAGAAGAAGCCGTATTTCAAGTCTCGATTAACTATCAGAAAATCAAGTACACCGAACCAGTTCAATCTAAAACCACGAGTCAGCCATAGACTCTTCGAAACCCGCCCCCCGGGCTAGCCAGGACCCTAAGACGGCATGGCCCCCCAACCTCTCCCCCGAAAACGACAGGGTCCCAGGACCCAATAACAATCACCCCCCCTAAACAGAGGGCGACCGGGGGGGTGGGCGGGTGAATGGGAAAGAGAACCGCGGCGGAAGGGCCGCCATGGCGAGGCTCTTGCTGGTGCCGCGCCTTTACAGAACAAGTGGCCTGGCCGACAGGCAGGAATCCGAGGCGGTTAGGGTGCACGGGTGTCGCGGGGTGGATTGCGTAGTCCGAAAGCCGGGGCGAGGTGCAGTGAGGGGGCTTTCGTTCGGTGGCTTCCCATGGTGGAGTGTCGAGTGCGAGGCCTGATGGCACGTAAAAACAGTGGTGGTGTAGGGACAGGGCGACGGAGTGGTGGTATCGTAAACCTTTTCGCGGCGACGGCGAGTAGGTTTTGGCAGAGCGCGAGCCGTGGGTCTCTGCCCCGGCGATGATGGTGGCAGTCGTGGGCGCGATGGGGTCGCCATCGTCGCCAGAAGATACCAGTGATGTAGGTCTGGACGCCGGTCCGTGGGGAGCCAGGTACGTCGAGGATAGGCGAGGAGATAGGAGCCGGTGTGCCAGGGGGTCGTCGCCCGGCAATTCTTGTCTCAGTAGCGAATCCACTGGGCCACGCCGCGACCTTTCGGCACCGTCCCGGGGGCTGTCATCACGAATCGAAAGGTTGCCGGCAAGGCCGAAGATTGCCCAGTCATGACCCTCCTCCATATCGAAGGTGTGTTGCTGGGGTTGACTGCCCAACGCCGAGGGGATGGGTTGGGGGTGTATGATATTTGATGTTTCAGAGCTAGAATACTCGCGAAAGGGAAGGGAGAAAGGCACCGAAATGTAATTTAAATGGAAAGGAATGTACCAAACTATACCCACGCGTATAAGCTAGGGAGAGGCAGCAATAAAAACGTGAGGTGGAGTGTACATTTTATGTTGACGCTTGATATTGGGCACATCGCAACAGCCTCGTTGGTCTCCGAGGCACAATTCATACGATAAAATTATGGCGACATATGTCTAACTGTGGTTGCCATGAAGCGTCAGAAATACAACACGGCACTGGCCTTTTGGGACATGTCTATGATTTATCTAGGTATCTATCTCGGTCCATACTCCAATGTTAATCTAACTCACGAACCAAACTTTTGATTCCACCCAGTTACAAACACGATCGAGTTACAAGAATCAGTACAATAGATACTCCATCCTCGCCCGATATTCCAACTCAATTCCCACGGCATGTCGCCTGGCTCAAAGTGTAGGGCTATCAGTCGCAGCAGGCAGCTTTTCAGCCCCCGCCGTGATCACGACCGGATATGCTGTGAACAGCTCCCCCGTGATGATTGTCGTGTATGCGGTCGAGGTAGTCGTGCCCGCCGATTCGCCCGAAAAGGTGTAGTTGCAGTAGGCGGCAGTGCGGTCTTCGATCACGCACGTCTCGTCCAAGACGGCCGTCACACTCGCGATTGCCGTCGACAAGATGCCGACCATGGTTGAGGGCCCTTCAGTGACCGTCCAGGGCTGGGTTGTATGAGTTAGGTTTTGTGTTTAGATTCAACCACGGAGAGCAACTTACAGGATCATTCTGGTCACAGGTGGTTGTAGGAAAGCCGGGCATGTTGAGATGGCCAGATTGGCAACGGATCTGATACGTTGTAGCCACGGCGTCCGCTGCAATAACGCTGGCGTCGAAGGAGTACTCGCCTTCCCTCTTAGCACCAAGGAACACGCCAACCGTCGTGGGTTCTGCTTCAGCCGCTGCCGCTACGACAGGGAGCGCATGAGCGTCCGCGGACATGACACCCGCCAAGAGAAGAAGGGAGATATCAGGGAGCATTATATTGGGCTTTGACTTTGAGAGGGGCTGGTGAGTTTTGGTCTGCCATCTTGTTTGTGGGTAATGCCGGCGTTTTATACATCCGTCAGTCGGACTGAAGTCCTCCCCGAACTTCCTATATCGCGGTAGCCGGGCCGGCACTAGTCTCTTGGCTCCCGTTACGAATCGACGAATCGACGATTAGCGGTGAAAATCTGTGCAAGGTGTCAGCGGGAAGAGGCACAGCCGGCAACGCTAGAATAGCGTCCGCTCGGTGAGTCACTTGGCAACCGTGAAGGACCTCGGGATTCCATCTGGGCAGGCTAAGCATAGTGGGTTATCTTACCCCTAGACGTGTGACGTGTCACCGTGTCACGGCATTGGGGGCTGTGTGCTGGGCGTGAATACGGCTCAACTCTACATATGCATGGTTCTATTTTTCAGACTCCTTCGAATACCTTGGAACTTAGATAATGGTACGGTACAAGGGAACTGCACCAGTAAGAGCCATAGCTTGGTAACTGTCTCGGAAACACGTAGACTAGAGAAGGATCTGTCCCGCTTGTTTCACTCTCAGCCAAACCAAACTTGCAACATCTTTGGGCGAACACCCCAAATCACTTTTGAACAGCCGAGTTCATCTAGAGAATTTTGTTAAACAAAAACGATTCCGCGGGAATTCTCCCTGCGCCTGACGAGCATCTGATTTTCGGGGTGAAAGAAGAGAAACTCGTGCATAGAGTGGCGCGCCAGGGGCTTGTTCCCGACAAACCCAAAATCGTACTCATCCAGCAACTTGACGAGCAAGATCTTGGCAGCTAGGTCAGAGATCAAGCGGCCGGGGCAAGCCCACCGCCCTGCTCCCCAGGTGAGGATGTCGGTGTCGATATCCTTGAAAGGCCGGGCGCGGTGCTCTTCAATTTTGTCCTCGGCACAGAAACGCAGGCCGTGGTACTCCCGAGGGTCCTCGAAATACTCGGGGTTCATCGTTCGCGTGGCGCCCGACATGGTGACAAACTGACCCTTCTTCAGCGCCAGGCCATTGGAGAGCACATGATCCTTCTTGACAACGCGGCTGTATACGAGTAGGGTACCCGGAGTCAGCCGGGCCGACTCCTTCATGGCCGATTCCAGCTTTTCTAGGCTGGCCAAGGCCGCCATGTCCCAACGGCCACGGACCTGAACGTGCTTCTCCCGGATCTCGGCGCGGACGGCCTCGAGCACGTCGGGGTGTGCCACCATGTCCATGATGGTGCGGCAGCAGAAGTTGGCAATGCTGTATGTAGAACCGGCCGCGATGGACCCGACAAGAGCCGTCAGCACGTTGGGGTCACGCTCCAGCTCGCTCCGACCGGCTTCCACCATCCACGAGAGCACATCCGGGTTCACCTTCCTGTCAGGGCCGTTCTTGGTGAACTCTTCCTTGAGCTGCTGCACCCTGGGCACGACGTAGCTCGTCAGTTTTCTCCAGCCCCTGAGCAACTTCCATTTCGGCGGAAGAAGCCACACTAGCACCGGCTGCAAACAGGCCGGCACACAACGCATGGCAAAGCAGACCTGGAACACTATTCGCCTCAAAAGTTAGAACTGGTCTGATTCACGAGAAAACACAAATTCACACTCTCGCCCCCGCACCAGCCCACTCACCATTATTGGTATGCTCATGCGCCAGATTCACCAACTCGGGATTCCTCGCCGTCATCTCCTCCCCAAACAACACCAACGCAATCGACTCACTCACGCAGCGCACCACCGCCTTACTCGGCTTCATCACCACCCACTCCCCCACGCGCTGAGGAAACTCCTCCCCAATCGCCGCCGCAATGCGCGCCCCCGTCAGGGCAAACAGCGCGGGCAGTGCCGGGCTGATGTACGACAGCAGCACGCGCACGTGGAAGCTCGTCTTGCGCACCACCCCCATCCCCGTCAGGTGGCCTAGCAGCCCGAAGGCATGCGACTCGCGGCTGTTGAGCACGTCGGCGCCGAGCCGGTTGAGCTCCGGGATGAGGGTCGGCGGGAGGATGATTTGCTCCGTGTCGCCGCGGGCCAGACGGTACGGGCGGCCTTGGGCCTGGTTGTGTGCGAGAAAGGGGTTAGTGACGTGTGCCTTGGGGACTTTTACAGCATGAAATAGGGCATCTGTCCGGGGAGAAGCATACCTTTTCGTCGGCTGCGGTGATGATCTCCTGCGCATTGGTGATCCAGCGGACCCGGGAAAAGTAGGACGGCTCCCAGGAGAAGCGCTTATTGGCCGTGAAGAGGCCATCTTGGCTGTCGTCTCCCTTCTGCCTCTGAAACAGACGTGGAAATAAGATGCTCGCGACGATTGCGAATACCACAGTGATCCCGAGAAACTGTTGGCCGCTGCAGGCCTGGGCCAGGGTTGCCGTGTCGAGGTGCATGGTCAAATCTCGTCACCGTTCGGCTGGGTGCCGAAGGACCAACTGCTTAACTGAAGCCGAACAGGAAGGGGGCGAGGATGGGGACCGTGGGACGACGCCCATGTCAAGTTCTATTACTTAGTACAACATTATGTGACAAGGAGTTTCCTTTCCTGTCCTCCCCGTTTCGCTCCGAGAGGAGCCGGGATCTCAGCGTCGTAGAATCCTCTTGTCCATGTGCGTACGGGGTGTACTCCCGAGAGCAGGAGGTTCGTGTACAAGAAAGTACCTTGGAAGTTGTCACAACAGCAGGCCATCGACCAAGAACCAGGGCCGTTGACATGGATCATGATGTGCGACAAGGGGTTCAGCCAGTTTGGGAGTCGAGGTCGTATCATCGACTCCAGGGTCCGCGCCGCACTCCAACATGGGAAAAATCCTAATCCTTCCGCGCGGGTGCCGTCCCGTCTCCGCCGACTCCTTTGTTGCAACCAATAAGCTTCAAAACCAACCCTCCGTTCTTAGATGGTGTGTTCCATGCATATGCGGGCGGGTTCGATGATTGCCAACCGAACCAGGTTTCCCATTGACCTTCTCGATGCAGTGAGGAATACCACTCAGCAAATTCGGGAGTGGGCAGTTATCGGCCCAGGCGGAAGGCATGTGGGAGGTGTGGGAGGTGTGTGTGCAACGGGTAAGACCGCCGTGACACGACCGACCCACGCTTTCTTCACCTGTGTCAGTCAGTTTGGTGTGAGTAGGAGCCGAGCCTCTGCCGAGGGAGGTGGCACACCTGGCCCCTCGAATATTGCACAGTCTATCGAGAGTTGCTTACACACAGTGGTGGTGTTCTGTTCTGTTCTGGGGAGAGGGGCCGGGGAGGGCGGCCTCGACAGGGGCTTAGGCGAGAGTTTACAGGCACTTGCAACCAACAAAACCAATCTCCGAGCTGGGGATTTTGGAAAGTTGCGCGTGGGAATCAGGTCATGCATGGCTGAGGCAACGAATCCTACAATTCATGGCCGCCCATCGACGAGGTAAAACAGTAAAGAACAATGCATGGAAAGACTTGAATCCGTGGTTCCCCGTCTTTGTCTTTCCCACAACGGTTTCGATCTTCGCTCTCCGTCGTTACTAGGCCCTAAGGAGAACGGAAAGATGGATCTGCCGCCGCCTCCGTACCCCTCGGTCGTCACCACCGGCCTTGTCGTCGTCTCGGCACTCTTCCCCGTGATCTCGGGCGTGTCTATCCTGCTCCGTCTCGCCGCCCGCCGCAAGGCCAGTCAGGCACTCCATCCCGACGACTACTGGATCATCGCATCATGGTTCTTGACATTGGGACTCAGTATCCTCGTGTGGTATTTTACTCCACGGACGGGAATCAACTACTTTAATACCGACTTCCTTACCGGGACTGAGAATTCCCTAGAGGTACGGGGAACCAATCTTGAGGACCATTCATTGAGACATTAGAGGATATTAGAGACTCGAGACTGACTATGATTGCGATCAGCTTATCTTCATTTCATCCTGCTATGTGCAGTTCCCCCTCGGCGCGGTCAAGATCGCGGTGCTACTCTTCTACATGCGCGTCTTCCCAACACCCATGTTCCGGGCCATCGTGTGGTGCGTGATCGGCATCGTCAGCGTCTGGTCCGTCCTGTTCTTCCTGCTCGTGCTTCTCGAACTCGATCCTATCGCATTCCCTCTCATGACGGCCAACCTCCGGCTCGACAGCACAGCCATCGGCCTCGGGCAAGTGGCAAGCAGCTTCGCACTCGACATCCTCGTGCTGTGCCTCCCCCTCCCCGTCATCGCCCGCCTGCACATGAAATGGGAGCGCAAGGTCGCCGTGGCCCTCATCTTCTGGCTTGGAGCCTTCTGCGCTATCGCCGCCATCGTCCGGACCGTGCTGCTGGACCAGTCCATCCGTGAGGTGGTCAGCTCCGACAGCTACAACAGAGTTGGTAAGCATCTCTCCACTCGGGCACCATCCCTACGCGGGTAACTACAGATCCCCTTAAACATACTAACACACCACCCCTTTCTCCAGCCAACCAATCCCGCCAATACATCTTCATGGTCCTGGAACCAAACTGCTCCATCCTCGCCGCCTGCCTGCCTACCTACGGCCCGCTGCTATCCGGCGGGCGCGCGCCCGAGTCCATTGTGCGCAGCGTGCGCAGCGTCTTCAGCCTGCGCAGCGCGCGCAGCAACAATGCCTCGGCGGCCAGCCTGCCGCGCAGCCGCCACAAGAGCGCCGGCGAATCCCAGGTCGAGCTGCACGATATCGAGGGCGAGGACTACTCGCACAAGGTCTCCCGGCGAGGTCGTCCCGCCAGTTCCGTCCATGCCCGCTACGGCTCAGGTCTGCTGGCAAGGAGGGGGGGTAGGGAATAGGGAATCCGACGGGGGGGGAATGGTAGATTGGGGATTGGAAGGGGGAGTGGTACTATCGTGGGATGGCAGGTTGCCCTTGCGCCGTGGACGGCCATGGCTTTTGTGCCCTGTTACTTGGCTTTGGAGGTTTGTCCCTTAGAGACGGCTTAATTTTTCTAACTACCTACCTACCATTGCCACGGGAACCTCGATGTTTTCCACAGTGTGAGCAGGCCAAACCATATTCACATGTCACTTTTCCCAATTTTAGGACCCCGTTCCTCTGAGATGGGCCCGAATTCAAATCCTGACGGCAAAAACACCGTGTCCTCGGTGGCGGGGAAAAAAGATCACCAGCAAGGGCTGCCGAGGCCCCCTCCCTTGTTCATGGCTGCAGAGGAGCGGCGCGAGGGCGCGAAGGACACCCTGCAGATCACATTGTTCGTTTCGTAATATCATTGGCGATTGAAATCCTCCTGCCCACTCTGCAGAATCCCTGTCTGTATCTGCATACGATTTACAAGTTCTCAACTTTGACCTGCGTTAGTCTACTGCATACCATCGGAAGGATGGCCAGTGCCTCCGTCGTGATGCCGTGGTCGCTCGTAGAGTGGTAGTATCTGTGGGTAAACACTGAGGTACCTACATGCATCTGCCGTTGCAACTCCAGTCATATGAATAGCGCCCACAATGTTGCTCTTAGTCTTCGCAGTCAGCCCTCTGTGCAGCCATCGGGGTCTCTCCATGCCACACTACCCCTATTCACAACGATGAGCTTTCCGATCGACATCTCCGTCATGCCATTCTACGGCGTGGCGGAGACGGCCTTCAAGTGGCTATGCTACGGCTTCCTGGCCTACTGCATCGCCGATGCCCTCTCAACATGGCAACTCGTGCACAAGCAGGCCGAGCACCCCCTCGTGGGCAGCCCTCTCGCGCTTGTCCCCAGATTCCTCCTCAACCTGCTCTACTCATGGAAATCGACCGCTCTCGCTAAGGCAGGCTACGACAAGTACCCGTCCTCGCCCTTCCAGCTGATCCGCAGCGATGGCCGGGTCGTGGTGCTGCCCATCACCCTGCTGGACGAGGTCAGCCGCATCCCGAGCCACATCGCCGAGTCGACGGCAGCGCTCGAGCGCGACCTGCTCGGCTCCTTCACGGGCGTCGGCCTGATCCTCGAGAGCCGCCTGCACCACTCCATCGTCCAGCGCAAGCTGACCCCGCGCCTGGGCCTGCTGCTGCCGCGGATGGAGGCCGCTGTCACCAGCGCCTTTGACAAAAACTTCCCGCAAAGCGAGGAGTGGACCGAGATTCAGCCGTACAAGGTGCTCAGCAGTGTGTCTTCACGGTTGAGTGCTGAGGTTATCGTTGGCCCGTCGTTCTGTGAGAACCCAGAGTGGCTGCACATCGCGGTGGAATACACCGAGAGCTGTAAGTTCAGTTTCAAAGCGTGCACATCCAAACTCATTAGTAACACCGCCATTCTACAGTATTCCGAACAGTCGTAGCCCTCCGCTGCCTCCCCGCCTGGACACACCCCGTCGTCTCCCGCCTCCTCCCGTCCTACTGGACCGGCCAACGGCTCCTCCGCCGCGCGCAACACCTCCTCGGCCCCAAAGTCGGCGACCTCCTCAGCAAAAACAACGCCGGCACCTGGCAACCGCAAGACGACAACCCAGAAGACCTGAACGTTCTCGCCTGGCTGGCGGCCCTCGCCAAAGGCGCCGAGCGCAACGCCAACACGCTCAGCCACGTGCTGGTCCTCGTCGCCCTCGCCATGGTGCACACCACGCTCTTGCGCATGGTCAACGTGATCTACGACGTGACGGCGGCAGGCCCCGCGCTGCGCGACCAGCTGCTGGACGAGATTGCGGGCGTGGCCAAGCGCGGCTGGCACGATAATGGCGACCCCTACGAGGCGCTGGATAAGTTGGATAGCGTCCTGCGCGAGTCCCAGCGCATGTCGCCGCCGACTACGATGGGTATGAAGCGCTGGTTTAAGGAGGCGTATACGTTTCAGGATGGCACCCATGTAAATGCGGGGACCTATGCGTGCATGCCGGTGTTTGCGATTGAGAATGATCCGGGAAAGGTGCCGGAGCCGGAGAAGTTTGATGGGTTGAGGGCTTACCGGGCGGCGCGGGAGACGAGTGATCCGGAGAAGGCCAAGCTGTTGAGGTTTGCGTCGCCGGCGCCGGATTTTTTGAATTTTGGGTATGGAAAGACGGCGTGTCCCGGCCGGTTTGTGGCCGGGGTGGTGGTCAAGACGGTCATTGTCAAGGCGCTGACGGACTATGAGTTCAAGTTCCTGCCGGGCACGGAGAGGCCGGGGAATCTGATTGCTCATGAGTTCCTGTTTACTTGGCCCTGGACCAAGATGCTGGTCCGCAAGAAGCAGAAGCCGACTTGCCCTTTCTGATACTGGGCTCCGCTGTCACAAGGGGGGGGCAGAAGTCTGTCGGAGTCTAGACATTGTCTGGGGGCCAAGGCCAGGATGGCCCCCAGACTCTGATCGTCTGGTTAGGAATCTTACGAGATCCATGATTTACCCGCGTTCGGTTGCAGATACAAAACAATCTGCAAGAATCCTGCATGTGATTGACACAGTGCCATTGCATGGGATGGAGTGCTGGGATGGATCAAGGTCCACCTCGGTCTGTGCTGCTCCAGGATAGGGGTTATGCATTGCAACGCTGGCGGGGCAGTGAAGGCCCATGATCTTGTTGCAGCCGGTCAGCAATTTTGTGCTAGTACACTAGACAGCTGAATATCGTCGATCGATCAGAGATCTTCCTTTCCGCCCTCTTGTGGGTATCATCGGACTGGCGGAAATAGAAATGGTTGATAAGGGGGTGTGATCTCGGGCCACTCGGCCACTCGGTGTATGGCCCCCGACTGCGCCGTTCATGCTCGCCGTGCCCAATGATGGGAAGTTTCTGGTCCATTGGTCGGAGTCACTGTGCCGGACCGGGAGATGAAAATGCAGCCACGAGAAGGACAGAAACCGAGGCGAGGAAAGAAAAGGAAATCTGCAGGCATCAAGCTGTTGGGTTCCAAACTCTTCCAAAGCCCCAAGAGCTCGCTTCATCGCACAGTTCCCTCTCTGCAGCTCCTCCCCCTACTAGCGCGATCCTCCCTGAGCAAAATAACATTCCCTGTCATCTTTTTTTTTTTGCCTTCCGCCACCCCTGCACCGCGCGGGTCCCTCTCCCTCCCGCCGACCACTAAACCCCTTGAAGTGATAGCGCCAGATCGCCAAGACGGTCGGATCGAAGATCAACACCATGAAGGTGGAGGACTCGGAGAACCCCCCTGCCAAGGCGGACCGGGTCGCCGTGGGCACGGAGGAGAAGGAGAAAGAGTCGACAGACACGGCGGTGGACCTCAAGCCGGCAGCAGAAGAAGAGAAGAAGGAGAAGAGAAAGCAGACAGTCGAGTTCAGTGACAAGGAGGCAAACCACGAGCTCACCGCCAAGGCCAACGTCAAGGACGCCGCCGACATCAGCGAGGACATCGACCCGGCCAACGAAGTGCAGGGAGCAAAACTCGTGGTCATCCACCTGACCATCTGCCTGTGCACCTTCCTGGTCGGGCTCGACTTCAACCTGATCGCCACCGCCGTGCCCGTCATCACCAGCGACTTCGACTCGACCCGTGATATCGGCTGGTATGGCGCCGCCTTCATGGTCGCCATGTCGGCCAGCCAGCCGCTGGCGGGCAAGGTGTACACGCTGTGGTCCAAGAAGCTGGTGTATCTGCTCTACCTGCTCGCGTTCGAGGTCGGCAGTCTTGTCTGTGGCCTAGCGCCGTCGTCGTCGGCCCTCATTGCTGGCAGGGCTGTGGCAGGGTTTGGTGCGTCCGGGCTGTTTGCTGGGGGGTTCACTATCCTCACCACCATCATTCCGCTGCATAAACGGGCGGTGTGGACGGGTCTGATGGGTGCTACTTTTTCGATTGCCAGCATTGTAGGGCCGGTCATCGCTGGTGGTCTGACGCAGAACGTTACCTGGAGGTGGTGCTTTTATATCAATGTAGGTCTTGTTCTGGTTGTGCTGTGATATCGGCGTGGATGAAGTTGGGGTGCGGGGTCTAACCCGTGCCATGCGCAGCTGCCGATCGGTGGTGCCGCTGCCATCGTGTTCTTCCTCCTCGTTCATCTTCGTCCCGCCGAGACCGAAAAGAAGACTCTCAGGGGCAAGCTCGAATCCCTGGATATCCTCGGCTTTGTACTATTCGCGTCCTCCATCACCATGCTCCTCCTCGCGTTGCAGTGGGGCGGTATCGAGCGCCCTTGGTCCTCTTCGGTAATCATCGGCCTGCTTGTGGGTTTCGGGGTAGTGATGATCTTCTTCATTCTCTGGACACTGCACCAACAAGAGAACGCCCTAATCCCTCCCCGGTTGTTCACCGTCAACAGGAACCCCGCCCTGCTCTGCGCAGCCGCCTTCTTTGTCAACGGGCCGTTCCAGGTCATCATCTACTGGCTCCCGATTTGGTTCCAGGGGGTGCTGGGCGCCTCGCCGACCCAGAGCGGTGTCAACTTCTTCCCAACTGTGGTTTCGGACGTGCTCGCTGCTTTCATCGGTGCGGCTATTGTCTCGCAGCTGGGTTGGTGGAACCCGCTTCTGCTGTTTGCTGAAGTCTGTGTTTGCCTCTGTGGCGGCCTTCTTACCACCATCTACCCAAATATCTCGGGGGCGCACTGGGTAGGCTATCAGATTCTGGGCGGTGTGGGGTACTCGTTGACTTCCAACCTGGTAGGTATCCTACTGTGATTTTGTGTTTTGCCCTTGCCAACTTGTCTCTAGTCGCATCTCGCCATGCAGTCCTCGTTACCACAAGATCTCGTCCCGCTAGGCTCGTCAACCCTACTGTCCATCATATCCACCAGTTGCTCCATCTTCATGGCAATCGGCCAGGCAGTCTTCCAAAGGCAGCTTCAGCTTAACCTCAGCGGTGTGATACCCGGCACCCTAGTTGAAGATATTATCGATTCGGGCGTGACCAGTGTGAGATCGCACGTGGATGCCACCGAGTTGGTGGCGGTGATTGAGAAATACAGCTTGTCCGTCACGCAGGTCTTTGTAAGTTTGCCCCCGTTCTGTTGCGCCAGTGAAACATTGCTGAACGGCGAGTAGTATATCCCGGCTGTAACACCGGTTCTTTCATTCCTTCTGCTCCTCGGCTGCAAGTGGATTTCAACCAAAAGCAAGCAGACCCCGGCAACAACCACAGCGTAGGATGGAAAGACAGAATCAGACGCAGAGAAAGGCGTGACGAGCACAGAGGGTGAGAAGTTACAGCCGGAAGAATAACTCAATTCAACCAACTAAACACCAAGTACTATCTATCCTACCACTAATAATACCTAATTCAACTGATGCCACCACCGCTTCATGCAATGCAGTATTAGCTCGCTTACGTCTCGCCCTTGGCAATCTTCTCCTCATACTCCGTGAACGTCTCAATCCCCTTGGGCACACCATTCCACTGCAAGCCCTGCTCATCCATCAGACGAGCACGGTGCTCCATGGCGCGCTTCCACGACGGCAGCCCAACCATAGCCTCATGCCAGGCACGCACATGGGGCACGCCCTCCCACACCTCATCCCACGACTGCATCAGCACCTCGCTGAGACGGAAATCCCACGGCGCGAACGCCATATCCGCGTACGTCATCTTACCGCCCACCAACCACCGCACCTCGCCGCCATCGGCCGCGGGCGGCTGGGCAGCCAGGATGCCCTCGAGCACGGTCAGCACGCGGCGGATCTCCTTGGTGTAGCGCTCGACGGCGGAGGGGATCTTCTCCGGGTGCAGGTGCTGGAACCAGCCGGCCTGGCCGTAGTAGGGGCCCTGGCCGCTCATCTGGAACTGCAGGTACTGGTTGCACAGGTGGCGCTCCTTGAGCCCCGCGTGGGTCAGGCGCTTGTCCGTGTCGTACACCTCGACCAGGTACTGGTTGATGGCGCCCGACTCCCACAGCGTGATGCCCGTGTTGGGATCCTCGATGGCGGGGACACGTCCGTTCGGGTTCACGTCGATGAAGGGCTTCTTCTTGACGTCGTCGAACCGGAAGGACTTGAACTCGTAGTTGATGCCGAGCTCTTCCAGGATGAAGACCGTCTGGGAAGGGGGGATGCCAAGAATGGCACCATCGTTAGCTTAGCTTACCGACCGGAGGCGTGTTGGCTGTGTCTGCTTGGTCTCAGGGGCTTTGAAAAAATGGGCAGAAAATAGAGGGGAAACACGACTGGGGATGCTGCATCGAGATCACCGAGGGTTTAAACCAGGAGTTGTCCTCATACCTTCCACGAGTTGGGGCCCGGTGCTGTGATTGGCGTTAGCAAACTGTCTCTCTCTTTCACTAGGTTTGAAGGACTCACGGGTAATCCACACACGGATCGGCTTCGCGGGGTTTGACGTGCTAGTCATTTTTCTTGTTCGGTGGCGGATAAGGGATGGATGTTCGCGTAAGATCGGATGGATGTTGCTAGTCCGGTTCGAGATCTTGGCTCTTGGGTTTGGCGGAACGCTGTGGGAGAGCCGTGGGTGAAACTCTGAGAGTGAAAGAGGGGAGTTCAAGTGCCAAATTGAAAGTGCCGCTGGCTCACGTACTCAGGGGGCACGAAGATAAGGGCAAAAAGCCTCCGTCGAAATCTGACAAACCAAACCAACAACCGTTGGGACAGTTACACTTCCCCTGCAGCGCACATACAGCAGACACCGTGCGGCAGGATGAAGGAGATTCTCGGCCTCTTTCCTGAGCCCTTTGTTCCCCATTCCCTGCAGTCAAACGAGTCCTGTAACGGAAAGCCAATCAACCGTGGCCCCCACAAGCCAACCAACCGTGACTTCGTGCCTCGGCTGCTTAAGAAGGAGTGCCTGGATGCACCGCTGTAACGTACAGAGTGCAGGGGTCTTTTTTGTGGCCCCATCTCGTCTCCATGCAGCCACATTCGTGTAAGCACCTGAGGTTACACCGGCGAGCAACAGCGAGGTACATACCATATACCGGATGCCATGTACCTCCTATGGAGCCATATCCACGGCAGCTATCGCCGGCGGCCCGGCACTATGGAGATCCGCCCATCGGCCATGGCAAGGAATCTGGAACACAGATTACCGGTGACGCTCGGTGAGAGGGCGACAGGTTCCTGTTTCCCCAGGTCGCAGGATGACGGCTCGTACCTGTATCTTCCAGATCAGCACCATCCACCAAAGGCATCGAAGGCATCGAAGGCATTGAGCACGCTCATCCGACTCCACTGACGGCCATGGATGCTTTTACACCCTCACCAGACCAGGCACGGGCACTTGTTGCCGTGCTTGCAGCACAGTGCACCCAGGGCTTCGGGTCCATGTCGGCATCCGTGTACGACACGGCCTGGCTATCCATGATACACAAATCTGGCGACTGGCTATTTCCAGAATGCTTCGATTTCATCCTCGATGAACAACTTCCTTCAGGTGCATGGGAGTCGTACGCCACCCCCCTCGACGGCATTCTCAACACTGCCGCGGCACTGCTAGCCTTGAAAAAACACCTGCAAAAGTTGGATTCCGAGCGGCGCCATGACCACCGTCATGGTGACTGGCTGTTGCGGAGCCACCGAGCCGAAGCAGCCCTCAAAGAGATGTTGCATGGCTGGGACGTTGAATCCACAGACCAGGTGGGCTTCGAAATCCTTGTCGTCTCGCTTCTGACCCTGCTCGAGAAGGAGGCCGGTGTCTCGGTAGACTTCCCCGGCTATGGTACCCTGCGCGCGCTTCGGGACGCCAAATTGGCCAAGTTACCGCCGTCGACACTGTACAAGATGCCGTCCACCTTGTATCATGCGCTAGAAGCATTCATCGGCCACATTGACTTTGATCGTGTTCGACCATGGCGGCAGGCAGATGGTTCTATGATGGGATCTCCAGCGTAAGTGGGCGGGAAACAATAATAGCCTGGCTCCAAAGCTTGAACAGAACTAACACGTTGTTGCGCTGGCGTCAGAGCCACGGCTGCGTATCTCATGAATTCTTCCACCTGGGACGACGAGGCCGAGGCATACCTGCGGAGAGTGTTGCATCGGAAGCAAGCAAGTAAAGCCAATCACGGGAGCGTGCCATGCGCGTGGCCGACGACGTTATTCGAAGTTAGCTGGGTGCTCACCGCACTCTCCGCAGCTGGGATCGTCATTGGAGATGCCCAGAAATCGGTTCTTGGAAACCTGCTACGAGAGACTCTCCTAGCGCAAAAAGGCCTTCTCGGGTTTGGTAATACCCTCCTCTCTTATTCCCATTGATTGTGAGAGGGTTAGACGTGCATACCACTAACACCGCATCGCTAGCCCCTGGAAGCCTGCCCGACGTAGACGACACAGCCAAGGGGATAGAAGCACTGAACTATCTCGGCCAGAGCGACAGTGTCGGTGTTGACGGCCTCATCCAAACATACGAGGCTGCCGAGCACTTTATGACATATCCAGGCGAGCGCAACGCCAGTTTCAGTGCTAATTGCAACGTCCTCATCCTTCTTCTGGTGCGCAACGACCGAGATCAGTATGTCTCGCAGATCGCCAAAGTCACTCGCTTCTTGACGCATAGTGTCCTGGAAGGACATGTCAAAGAGAAATGGGTAAGTTGGCTGGCAATCCCTAAGACGGGCTCGAAGGACGGTGGCTGACTAGCGGTCCACCAGCACCTGAACGAATTGTACTGGATGATGTACCTCGCTCGCGGTTTTGCACTCCTCGTCCAGCACCACGAGCTTTGCCAAGCAGTCTTTGACCTGGCCCCCTCCCTGCGGGAAGACGTCCCCTTGGCCTCCCTATCCATTCTGATGCGTATAATCGGAACGCAGCAAGTAGACGGTTCCTGGGACGGGGTCTGCGAAGTAACCTCGTACGCCATCCTAGCCTTGTCATCGCTAGAAAAGCTCCCCTGGATCCGACAGCTCGACACCGGCAGGATCGTGGCCGGTATGGCACTAGGCAAGGCCTTCCTAAATTCCAACCGGGACGCGTGGGCCAAAGGCCGGCACCTGTGGATTGAGAAAGTCACGTACAGCTCGCCTGTGCTCAGCGAAGCCTACTGTCTGGCAGCAGCGGCCGTTCCGCTACCTGCAACGGTATACCCCCAGCCGGGGGCCAGCAAACCCCAGGCTGTCGTTTCGGTCAACAAGAAGGTCATGATGGGCATGCGAATGGCCGGTGGCCTCATTGCACGCACGCCGCTGTTTTCCAAGACGGACCCATGGTCTCTGCGCGTCGCCGAGATGCAGGCCTACTTCTCCATGCAGGCCTTGCAACGTCGCCAGGTTGATGTTTTCCCCCGGACAGCAAAGGGCAAGGACAAGTATCTATTTATCATACCTCTGGCTCTCACGGCCAGCGCGCTCAAGGCCGGTGGTGGCCCTGGCGCGGTGAGCCACTCGGTGCTGTATGAGATGATGGTCTTGTCCGTCTTGAACTTCCACGCGGATGAATACATGGAGGGTGTTGTGGAGAAGCACTTTGAGGGGCGGCTTGACTCTGTCCGTGCTGTCGTTTGGGAGCTATTCGCGGAGATCCAGCTTGAGCCCAGCAGCATTGCAGAGGGCGGCGTCGCAGCGGCTGTCAATGGTCATAACGGCAGCTCGGCTCGTGAGCAAGCTCGGGGAGACTCGCAACCAACAATCGCAGACGTCAAGACTGTCCTTGGCCGGTTTGTGAGGCGTATCCTGCACCACCCGGCGGTGCTCTCGAGCCCAACTAGCCTGCAAACCCGGCTGGCTTTTGAGCTGCAGACCTTCCTGCTCGCCCACATCACCCACGCCGAAGACAACCACCGGCTCCGTGCGCAGTTGAACCAAGCTCAAGCAATTATCCACAATGGCAACGGTAATGGCCTCACTAACGGTCACGCCAACGGTAACTCCAATGGCAACACTAACGGCAGCTTGAACGGTCATAGCAACGGTTCCTCCAACGGTCACGCCAACGGTAGCGGCCACAGCGACGGCAACGGCCACACCAACGGCAACGCCACTCCTACCCCCTCCGCCACCTCCACAACGCCCACCTACCACAACCCAGGCCGCACATTCTACCATTGGGTACGCAGCACCTCAGCCGACCACACCTCGTGTCCCTTCTCCTTCGTCTTCTTCGACTGCCTCATCCACGCGGCCGCATCCCCCCAAGCCACCACCCCCACCCCAACCCTCTTCACCACCTCCACCCGCACCGCCTACCTCACCGAATCCGCCGCCCGCCACCTGGCCAGCCTCTGCCGCATGTACAACGACGCGGGGTCCTTGGCGCGCGACGCCGACGAGCGCGCGCTCAACTCGCTCAACTTTCCCGAGTTCACATCCACCTCCACCCCCACTCCCACCACACAAGGCCACAAACGCAAACGCGACCACACGAACGAAAAGGACGGGTCAGAGGACGGTGTCAAGGGCCCCAAAGACGAACTCCTCTGGCTCGCAAGTTATGAGCGGCGCGGGCTAGAGACAGCGACCGAGCTGCTGGAGGCCGAGTTAGAGTTGGGCGGGGATGGAAATGCGAAAAATGCGAGGAGGCTGGTCGGGGCGCTGAGGCTGTTTGTGCGCGTGACAGATCTGTATGGGCAGATCTATGTGCTCAGGGATGTGGGCACGCGGACGCGGACGGGGGGCAGTGAGTGATTTGTTGGTTGGGTTGAGGGGGAAAAAAAGGGGGAGTTGTGGTTTAGTTGGTTTTGTTGCGGCGGTGAGTGGCGTGGTAGGGATGTGTTGTGTGGCTGGCTGTGTGCCGCGGTGGAAAATGTTTACGACTTGATGAGCTCGGATGGGCGTTGGTTATATTTTGAGTTTGGTCTTTCGTTAACTGTGTTAGTTTGTGTCGATCCTAAAAAGCGCATTGTCGTCACGGGTGCAGCATGGCTCTTGAAAACTGGTCTATCTCCGTCTATGGAGGACTAAGGACTTCCGAGATGTCCGGTAGTTGGCACGCTGTAACCATGTATAAGCCAAGAACGATCTGGCCCATCCGTCTATTAGTGTTTTGATGACCTCGCATTGCAGCACGCTAGAGAATTGCAGAAAAGTTTGGTCCTCGGCACCCCCAGGGTGAAGCCGCTTGGGTATCTCCCCATCTCATTACCCTCTCACATGATCACCTCGTTCGCGACGTCCTACATACGAGTTAGCTTAAACCACGCAAACCGCTCCGACAAGGCACTCACCCTCTTCAGTTCCTTAAAAGGCAGGCAGACGCAGTTCTGGACGCGAATCTCGTCACCCACGGCGCACTCCTTGCCCAAGATAGTGATCGCCTGCACCTTGACGCCGTTCTTGATGATGCTGGTGTTGTGGCTGGTCACAGGCGTAGGTGTGCCCTCGACGCGGGCCCACGCGCCGACGCGGCTGCTCCATCCAATGATAGAGTACAAGACGCACGAATCGTGCTTGATCTCGGCGTCTTCCAGCACGATGGACTCCTTGACGCGGGCGCCGGCATCGATGGTGGCGCGCGGGCCAACCGAAACGTTGGGGCCCAGCTTGGCCGTGGGGTGCACCTGCGCAGAGGGGTGGATGTAAACGGGAGGGATGATGTTGGCGGAGGGGGGGGCGAGATCCTTGGAGCCGCTCTGTAAGGCTTTCTGGAGGTACAGGGCGTTGGCGGGGATGGCGGAACCGGCCGTCTTGATCTGACGCCAGAAGTCGCTGGTCTCGTACACAAAAAATTGCTTGCTGTCGGCCATGTCGCTGAGGATGTCTTGCTCGAGGCGGATGACTTCGTTCTTTTGGTTTTCGTCGTCATCGATCATAAACGAGCTGGCCAGGTTTTCGGAGGAGCGGTACGAGCCGAGGCGGGGCCTGTCGGTGCGGCGCTTGATGGCGCTGCGGATCGAGGGGAAGAGCACGTCGGCGGAGAAAAGGTAGACGCCGCAGTTGATGAGATTTGAGATGTGGCTCTCGGGCTTCTCGACGTAGTGCAGCACGCGGCGAGTGTGCGAGTCGGATACGATGCAACCAAAGTTGGTGGCGGCCTCCTCACTAACGCGCGTCCCCAAAATGACGGCCTCGGCGTCCTTCTCTTGGGCCAGCTGGAGCATCTGGTTGAGCGGGAAGCTGCAGCAGACGTCCGAGTTCAAGACAAAGATGTGCTCGGGGCGGCCCTTGAGGATAGCATCGCGGAAGTGGTACAAGCCGCCAGCAGTGCCCAGCGCCTGATATTCGCGGAGGTATTTGATGGCGATATTGGGGAACTCGGTCGCGGCATCCTTGATGAAGTCGCGGAAGACGGATTCCTCGTAGTACCCGATGAGATAAACCTCCTGGATGGAGGGGACCTTGCTGATGGCGGTCAAACAGTGCCAGATGATGGGGTGGCCGGCCACGTCGAAGAGGGGCTGTTGGGATCGTCAGGTTAGCGTCGCCCTCGTCGTCGCAAAGCGCAAGGGATCTGGGTCGAGGCACGCGCATACCTTGGGAACGTCAAGCGAGAGCGGGCGAAAGCGGGTGCCGCGCGATGCGCCTCCGACCTAACCATTGTGTCAACGATTTATCCTCAAAATCGAACCCCGACTCGAAGTCGGTGTGGCAGCAATCGAATTGCCCCCCAATTCCCCGCCATCCATCCACTAACCAGGATCACGGCCTTCGTCGCGCCGCCAGCGCCGTTGGACTTTTCGCGGTGTGGGATCTGCAAAGACATGGCGAATATGGGAAGTTGGGCTCTGCCGTATCTGAAGGGTTCTGAATAACGAGGACACTACTGAGGAAGCAAGGGAAGAGCAGCCGTTCTCGACGATGCCAGATGGGGCCCAAGTCCCCTGAAGCGCTGTTACGTAGCAGGGGTACAGCTGGATTTCATGGTCCGTGCGTTGCCCCTCATTCAATGGATGTGCTGCTTCAAAGAACCAACTCAAATTTGACAACCCCCCACGTGAACTGCGATCCTGTGGTGAGGTTGGCCGCATTTGGGCATCGAATCACGAAGCGCTACGAAGGACAAGCTTCAAATGGGACTAGGGTAACTGCGATTAGATCGGTTGCGTGTCATTCTGATTGAGTTTACGATATGGATAACTGCTCCTGGCAGCTGCTCAATTTTGCCATTTTTGGTAAAGTACCTGCAGAGAGGAACAAATGTATCGAATAAATAGCAGAACCAAAAAGACAGTGCATGGCAAAAGCAAACACCACCAGTTCCATTCGAGATGCCGGCCTCGAGCTGGCTTCGATAAAAATCACGGTGCCCCGCAGAAATGCAGAGTGCTTGCGTGAAACGCGGTCAACAGACGCGTTGCACCGCGCAACCAAGCTCCAATCGCGAGCTTGCTACAGCCCCACAATTTCCAGCCCCTTTTGAGTAGCCTTCAAACTCTGGGAGTTCTCCGGACCAGGATCGAATTTGTTACTGCACCCGTGCAGATTATCCCATTCTGCTAACAATCGCCATCCCCGGAAGGAGTGCAGCACGAGTTTTAGCTTTCTGCGCGCCTCTGGCTGTCGAATCATCAACTGCTGCCTCCCGGGCTTCCACTCATTAACAAAACTCTGGGGTTCCTTCCATCGCTCTCGGCCTCACTTCAGAGGCTTCCACTTCTAGGACCCTCATTCCCTCATTCCAATTCCACCATTCCACCTTTGCTCGCGAGCAGCATCGCCTCCTTCACTTTAATATACTACCCTCTTTTCTTGTTCCTGTTTTTAGCTCTGAATAACTTCACTGCCTTGCATCCATTAATGCTCTTCTTCTGAACCCAGTCCAGTCGGCAGTCAGCGATTCCAGCGATTGGCCGAATTACACAAGTTGGTCGAAACAGGCAAGTTGTGACCGTTTATTTGCAATAACGCTTTCCATCTCCATCCGTCATTTTGATCAATTCGTTTCATTCGACTAACAACCTAATTAGATCCATCCACCTTCAATCGTGATGCCGCGCATCAAGGTAGAAAGCGGCAGGGTCCGCTCAATGGCGACTCCGGACTCCATCCCGGATGCCCCGTCTGAAACGGCTAGTGAGCGAGTTCAGAGAGGGCGTCCAGTCCGTTCGGCAGCACGTAAGCGGCATTCCGGCCTCAACTTGCCTGGCGAAATAACTGACTCGTAGCAGCCAGCATCGACACTCGTCGTGTCCGACCGACCACGGCGTCCGGCCCGCCCAACGGCCCGGATGAGGAGGATAATGACCTCCTTATCATGGAAGTCCGGCGCGGCCCCAAGTCGGAGCATGAGGTCAACCTCATGGGCTCGCAGAGTGTCCAAAGCTCCTTTGTTGGCGCCAACCGAGCGCTTCGCGGCATGGGCCAAAAGCTGAAAGACATCAACGACGCGTTGGGCGAACTGCAGGCCCGTGGCATCCAGCATGTCGCTAGCTTGCCAGAGCTGGTTCTCGTCGGAGACCAGTCCTCCGGCAAATCCAGTCTTATGTCGGCCATCGCAGGTCTCAGTCTCCCCCGCAGCAGCGGGACCTGCACACGATGCCCAATACATATCCGCGTATCTCGCGCTGATGAGTGGTCTTGTCGGGTATACTTAAAACAAGACTACGATTTCTGCCCACCCAATCACCCTCTCACGGAGCGGGACGTCACAAGCAATAACAAGTTCCCGCCGTGGGCTAAACTCGACCCCAGCCGTCAGGTACGGCGCGAGTTCAAGACCGTCAGGGACCAGTTCGACTCCGAGGAGATCGAGACCGTCCTTCGCTGCGCCCAGGTCGCCATTTTGAACCCCTCGACTCATTATCAATTTTTTATTCCCAAATTGAAGGGCGAAGTACCCGACAGCACCCGGGAGCAACATCTTGAGCAAGTTAAAAAGAAGGAGGAGAGGGCCGAGGCCCAGTTCTCCCCTAACACCGTCGCTTTGGAGGTCAAGGGTCCAGATCTTGCGGATCTAAACTTTTACGATCTTCCGGGTGTTTTCATGACTGCCCGACGCAGCGAGGACATCTTCCTGGAGCGCGTCGTTCAGAATTTGACGCGAGAATACATCTCGCGCCCGAGCGCGATTATCCTATGCGCGGTTCCTATGAACCAAGACACAGAGAATTCCCTCGCCCTTAAGATCATCAGGGGCCAGCGGGCCCAGAACCGGTGTATCGGCGTCATGACCAAGGCGGACCTGCTGCCAAGCGATGATTATGCCGCCTCGGGCTGGCTTGGAATGCTCAATGGCGAAGCACACCAAACCGGTTTCGGCTATTTTATTACCTCCCGCCAGGGTAGCGACCTGGAGGAGCAGAATAAGATGGAGGAGAGTTTCTTTAATCGCACCGCCGACGCCACGGGCCACTGGCCCGAAGTATTTGATCACTTCAAGGAGAAGTGCGGCGTCGAAAAGTTGAAGGTGTTCCTGTCCGAGAAACTGGGCGAAGAGTTTGCCAAGATGTAAGTCCATTCGAAACCGCCATCCGCAACGGAAGCATGTCACTGACTTTCCTTGCCTTAGCCTGCCCGAAGTAAAGGAGAAGGTAGAGACTCGCCTCGTCGACATTCGCAAGCAACTGAAGAAGTACCCCGATCCCCCTCCAAACCCCGAGCTGGAGATCATGAAAAGCCTTGCCGAGTTCACGATTCGGGTCAAAGACCGGGTTATGAACCAAGACTTCATGAGCATCTGGGACGATAGCTATGGCGAACCATTCAAGGCCTTCATTCTCAACATGAAGCCCAAGTTCAACGTCCGCGAGCATGCGAAGGTGTCAAAACCCCCAGTTGTCATTGACCTCGACGGCGACAGCCCGGCACCATCGCCGACTATGCGGAAACGGTCAGCCCCCGCCATGGACATGGCACAAACTCCCAAGAGGCAGCGGCAAGTGAACGCCGTCATCAAGACCGAGACCCAGGACAACCCGATGTTCCCCTCAACGCCTCGCCATGCGCGGAGCTCGACGCCAGTCATGACGCCTTCCCGAGGCGGCCGGTCTAGAAGCCTAATGGATATCCGGCACCTCATCCGGCGTGCCGCAGTCCCAGGCCAGCCGGGTCTCGTATCTGCCAGCGTCTACGAGCCCCTGTTTACGGAAGCCGCCAAGAGCTGGGACCGGCACCTGCACAAATTCGTAGACAACACACTCTCCCTGCTCCAAGCCGAGATCCTCACAATCCTCGACGCGGCGTTCGCCCACCTCAAGAACCGGGCCGTCTACAACGAGTCGCGCGAGCACATGCGGGCCTTCGTCGAAGCCCAACGCATCCAGCTGCGCGGCCAGCTCGACTTCATCTACGACCTCGAGGCCAAGCGCCTCTTCACCAAAGACGAGGAGGCGCTCAAGCGCAACCAGGACGCCGAGATGCGCATCCTGGTGCGGCACCGCAACCACTTCCGCATCGCCGCGCACAACGGCGAGGAGCTCAGCGTCGTCCCTAAGATGGAGGACATGACCGACGAGGACCGGAAGCAGGAAGAGTCCAAGATGGCCAAGGAGCTCAAGAACCTCGGCCCGGACCCCTTCGAGCCCGAGCTCGCCGTCGCCGCCTACATCCGCGGCTACTACCTCACCGCCGCCAACCGTTTTGTGGATTACGTCTCCATCCACGTCATGTCCGGCCTGCTGCCCCGCGTCGCCTCCGTCATCGACACATACCTGCACGAGAAGCTCGGCCTGACCAGCAGCTCCACCGCGCAGGCCGTGCTGCAGCGCTTGATGTCGGAGGGTCCAGAGATTGAGCAGAAACGGCGTGATCTGCGCGCTGAGAAGGAGACGCTTGATGGTGCGATGGATATCATTGTCAACTTGGAGCGCCGCGCTCATGAGCAGCAGCTGGCGGCGGCGGCGGCGTCCCAGTCGCAGTATACGAATGGGTTTGATCCGTCGCAGGGGGATAGCATGTCGACGCTGGATGGTCATGTGAATGGCATTGCTGGGACCGTGTACTCGGCTACCCAGTTTGGCGATGCTTGATGGGGGTGCTTGATGTGGTGGCGCTGGATGGTGGCGTTGTGCTGCTTCATGTGGAGGGAAAGTCTCTTGCGCTTTTATGTTTTACTTGTTTCTTTGTTTCCTGTCGGTCGGTCTTGTCGGATATTAAGGATGGCGCACGATACCACGGCTGTGGTTGGAGTCCGGTACTGCAGGGTTTGATCAGCCTGCTGGTTCTGTTGGCCAGTTTGTGGTCCTTGGGTGGGCCGCTAGATCTCGTGTATTTGACTGGCTGATTTCGTCGACGCACATTTCGGGATTTGTATCTAGGTGTGGATGGGTCGGATTGTTTGTGGCGAAAAGGGGTATCGCCAAGAGATGTCAGCAGGGGTTGAATTCTCCCTCGCACCACTTTGTACGAATACTTGCTGTTACTATGGCTCCTAATATTGCTGTCTATGAGCATGGCACATGTGCGCTCTGAAGAGCGCGTTCAGATAGTTCTGACAATACCACGACTTCATAGTACCTTACTTGATGACCCTTGGCACTTCCGAGAATTGTCCCGGCAACTCAAGTAAACAGCCCCACATTGCAGCCCCTGAGTGCCACGCGACACAGAGATCGCCGAGTTGACGCGACGTTGATGCAATAGCAACAAGAACGCCTAGCAGTTAGTGCCGGTGCCATGTATGTCAAAGGCCCAATATTTACGGACAAAAAAATAAGTTGCTTGAAAAGGAGAATAAGTTCTGTTCGCCTACCAGCTCGTGGGCTCACCGATTCCAAATATGAAGGCTCTTTGGCCATCTGCCCATTCACCACTCGGTCATTTCAAGGTCAACTCTTCAACAATTATGGTCATGTGGTTGGTCTGGCGTAGGCGGCGAGCCAAACTTTGGCATGATGCCGACTGTGTGCACACTTCATTGTTGCTTCGAGTTTCAAGCCCAGAAACGATCAGATGCCAAATGTCTTCATATCGAAAAAAGGTTGATAAAGACCCTGAGATAAATATTGCGACGAGGGGCCGTCTGTCTTATTCAGGTTTCTTTGTTGCGTTGCCATAAACTTTTGTTCGGAAATGACGAAGTTTTTTTCCTCTGCTCTCCCACCTTCCGTTGTTCTGGCATTCCACCATGGAGGACTCTGGCTGGAACTCATCTGTTCCATCGCTGTTTTTTTGTTTGTGGTGGGGGGTGGGCTTGGGAAAACCAAGGTCGAAACCAGGCTATATAGTTTACTTTTTGGTTGTTGGTTTTCAACAGGCCCCATTGCAGACCACTTCGTGGTGTAATGGTAAGGTTGTGTGCTGTCGATTCCCCCCTTGTTGAAGCAAGACACAGCGCCGAGGACGGCGAAATGACCACAACCTGTTTGTTTGATTCAAATTGGGTCGGGGCGAACTTTTTTGTGTATTTTTTTATTTACGATAAAGTTTTATTCCCTATTTGTACCACCCTTCCGGGCCCAGGGCGACCAGAACTTCGGTCATCAAATTTGCTAGCTCCTGCTCAAATCTGGAATGGCAAGTAAGCACCGAAGTACAACATCTTAATTTCACCAAGTGGTTTACAGTAAAAAGAAACTGGCCATAATTCTCCAAATCAAGAAGAGCCTTGAGCCCGAGAAAAATTGTATTTGATCTAACAGCTCTTACTCTCTGACTTGCTCTGTGCTTCATGGGCTACTTCCTATCCTCAACGACCTTTTCCACCAACTTGATCCCTCGGCTTCAAGCTTAGCGCGGAGAGGGTCGCAGATCTCCTTTGTGTATGGAGCCAAAACGCCCGGCTGGTTTAGCGGCTCAAAGCCGTCGAGGATCCCTTGAGTGGCAATCCCGCAAGTGATTCCGACCGACTTCGACATGGCAGAGTAGCCGTTGGGATTACCAAACAACTTAAGGTGGATGTAATGGTTTCCTGTCTCGAGGGTCAGCCACGGCCAGGAGAGGTGTGTGCTTGAGAAAGCGGGCTGTACTCGCCTCTGAGCCGTCGTTCCACTTCACCACAAATTTGTGGTGTAGCACCACCAAGTCGCACTCGCCAGGCCGAAAGCTGCAGAGCCTTTCAAGCTGGGCAGAGAGTGTATCCAGAAGATTTCCATGGACGGTAGCTTGCTTGCTGGAAAAGAGACCCACCAGCGTAGGCTAGCTAGAATCTCCTGCCGTTCTGCCGATGACGAAAATGTACATAGCTGGTCGACCTTCTTAACAAGATCCTCTTCGGAAGGTGAGGCCGCGCCGGTGGCTTGCTGCTGAATCTGAGCCCAGGTGATGCCATCCACGAGCCACGGCTTCTCCGAGGAGTCGAGCCACCCAAGGTCGATGAGGGCCCTGGCCAGGGCGGGTTTACCTTCGTATCGAAGGGATCCACGAATGATGGTGTGAGCTTCGGGAATGTTGTGGAACTCGCGGAAGGGCGTTGAGTCTCTATTTGGGTACGCGACGAACGAGTATCCGTCGATAACAAAATAAGGCACGGACTTAGCCATGAGATCCTTGTTCGGGATATGGACCAGCTCTCCTTTGTCGAAGAAAGTAGCAGAGTTGTACTGCGAGAGCAGGGCACCACGTGGGGGACCACGAAAACTAAGATGGGTGCGGTAGGCAAGCAGCGTTAGGCGAAAGCAAGAGGTTCGAAAGGGGGAACTACGCCACCTACCTTGAATTTGAGCGGGTTGTTGGCAGCCTCGAGAGCGGGAAGCCCACCACAGTACGAGTAGAACTCGAGATCCTGGCCTCCCTTCTCGTGGACTTCTCCAATGACCTTGGCAGCATATAGGTGATCCACACCAGGGTCAACGCCGACCTCATTCAGGACGGTAATACCGGCCCTACGAAATTTCAGTTAGTAGACCGTCCCTGCGAGCACAAGCACTTACTCCTTGGCAGCGGCATCCAGCTCGTGCATGGCCGGAGAAACATAGCTTGTGGTCACCAACTGAGTCTTGCCCTTGATGGCCGAGCGGATCGCATCGGCGTGGTAGATGAAAGGAACGAGGGATATGACGACCTGGTGGCTAGCGACGTGCTGATCTAGATCGAGGGTCTTGACGTCGAGAGCGAGTGCTGTGGCCCGAGGCCGGCCCGCCACCAGCTCCTGGGCGGTGGAGAAGGTCCGGCAAGTTGAGAGTCACAGTAAGTCAACCTGTTGCGCTCGCTTGGAGACACGGAATTCACCTACCGACGGTCAGCTCGTTTCCGGGGTCCCGCAGCAGGTAGTCGATGCATGGCTTGGCCTGGCACCAGACCACTACCGAGCACGAGGATCTTCTTCTGCGGCATCTTGGCTGCTCGAGCGATGGCGAACTTTACTTGGGCACAGGTCAAGGTCAAAATGTGTCAAGAGAAAGGGAAAAGGCAAAAAGTATTTATGATACCTCTATATGACTCAAATAGGTACCCCACTGTCACGGACTGCAAGCATAGGGGGTTTTAGGAGTTCTGGTACCGATTTAGTGGCGAATCAGGGCTATGATATAGTTAGTTAAGGAAGATCCATGTTTAAATTAGGGTTACGAGTCACACCGAAGAATAAACACAATCCTTTTTTGCTCAATTCCCATTGCTCACAAACAACTTTGCCTTTTTTATGGTCATGCTAGCTCAAGTTTTGACTGACAAATCTAAGCAATTATAAATATACTGAGAAAATGGGCCGGAGAGTAGACAACATAAAACGGGGCGTGGTAGAGAATGTAAAGATACCTAGCTCAGTAGGCGAGCTCAAGGCTAGGACGTAACTCGGAACAAGATACACTTTCTCTCTCTTTAATTCGTGTTCTTTTTCTTTTTTCTGTTCTTTCCTTTGTTTTCGCTTTTACATCAATCAATACTCCTCCTCACCTCTACTCAGAACCCCCCCATCACACATCATCATCATCATCATCATCATCCTCTTCTTCATCAGACTCAAACTCATACTCCGCATAGTCCGCGCCGCCGCCGCCCTCATACCACGTATGATGCACCTCCGACATATGGGCATACACCTCGCCCGCCGTATCCGCGACCATGGCCGCACAATTGAAGCACCAGTGCTTGCCACACGGACACGAGATATGGTCACACCCGGCCGTCCTCTCCGTCGCCACCCCACACGCCGGACACATCTTGACCACCAACCCCCCCTTCTCCCCACCACCACCCACAAGAACCCCCCCTACCGCCGCCGCAGCCACACACCCCTCACACCGCCACCCCTCCACCTCCGGCGGCGCGCCCCTCGCACAAACCCTCTCGACATACCTCCTTGCGCTCCCACACCGCCCCACACACCACGCATACACCCACCCCCCCTGCTCCTCCACCGCCTCCCTCACCCCGCCCAGACACCTTACCGCCCTCAGCAGCGCAGCAGCCGTCGGCGCGGGCCTCCGCCGGCAGAACGGACACGCCAGCGCGGCGGTGTTGAGCACGCGGCCGGGCCGGTTGGCGCCGTACCAGGCGGCGGCGCAGGCGGTGCAGATGCGCTCGGCACAGCCGCGGCGGCCGCCGCAGGCGGGGTGGAGGGCGCGTTTGGGGAGGGTGGAGAAGCAGAGGGTGCAGGTGCCGGATTGGGTGCGGCGGCGGGAGATCCAGGAGGAGAGGGTGGTCAGGAGGGCGGGGGTGTTGTGGAGGGGTTTGTGGTGGTGCGTGAGGGTGAGGGGGGAGGTGGGGGTGGGGAGGATGGAGACTTTGCTGGGGAAGAGGGTGGTGCGGTTGGCGGGGTCGGAGATGTGGGTGATGGTGTGGTAGAGGGAGCGGTTGTTGAAGGGTTCGGGGATGGTCGCGTCGTCGTTGCGGAGGAGCCAGGCGGTGCCGTTTTCGCTGGCGAGGGCTGACGCGGTGGTTTCGACCGTGACGATGGTGGCGATGGTGCCGGCCGTGCAGGCGGGGCACTGGTAGGTGACTTCGTCAAAAGAGGACGGGCGGTGGGCGACGGGCCAGATGACGCGGTTGCGGCACTTGGTGCAGGTGACGCAGGGGGCGGTTGTGAGGGCCTTGTAGTTGGGGTCTGTCTCAGAGGTTGTGTTGATCTGTCGGCAATAGTGGCACTTGGGGCGAACTTTGAGCAATTTCGGGTTATACACCACGTACTGGGCTCTGCAGTCCGTCATGGAGCACTCGCTCCAGGTCACCGTGGTGTTGCTGTTGTCGGACTTGGACACACCCCCTGTGACCCGCGCTTCCTGAACTTCCCGTGGTTCCTGGTTACCCAGCTTGCGAGCCCCCAGACACACCCCACAAGTACCTTCTGCGCCCATAACCGTCACTGAACGAGGGAACTCGCAGACGTTGCACACCACAACCGGCCCCAGAGGCGCTTTGCTCTTGTTCGGGCTCCAGCCAACCTCTGCCTTGAGCGTCGTGGACAAGTTCATCTCCAGCATCTTGTAGTCGACGAGGCCGCCAAACAACTTGCGGTCCTCTTCCTTCAAAACCGTTTGGCGGCCTGCCTCAGCCGACTGGGTTTCCGCTGTCGCCTGCCGAAGCTTCTTATCAGCCTCTAGAATCAAGCCGAGACAGTTCACGCTCCACGTTTCAGGGATATCCAGCGTGTTCCAGTTGTCCCGCCAAGTCAGAAGCTCGGTGTAAGCAACCTCTTCGAGGGGCTTGATCCCTAAGCGCACGCTGAGAGCTGCCAGCAACGCTGCAGGACGGGCGGCTACCATTGTTCCAGGAAGAACAGTGTGCAGAAGCACCTTCCAAAACTTGCCCTGGTGTTCAGAGTGGGCCAGTGCCATGGGAATTTTAGGAACCTCTGTTTCCGGGACATCCTTGACATGGGCGGGGAGGTCACCCTTCGAGTTCACGTATGTCAGGCGAACGAGGATGCGACCGAGCCGGCGCAGGATGCGGTAGTCGCAGGACCGCCCGATCTCGAGCAGCTCGTCGCGGGTGAGTTCCATCACGTCGGCCGCGCCATCCTCCTCATTCTCGGCGGGCGCGAACCGCACCGTGGGGTCGAGGAAGACGCATGGGTACCGCGATTCCTCCGGAACGGCCTCGATCATCTCGACAATCTCTCCGGCGAAATCGTATGACTCCTCCAGCCACTTCTTCAGGCGCTCCTTCTTGTTCGTATCCGTGGTCTTGTCAACCTGAAGGCCGAAACTGGTGATCAGCCCATCGCGGGCGGGATTGAGCCGGTCGTTGCAGACCGTTCGCCAGAGTGTACCGAAGACGGGGTTGACGGAGAGGGCGGACACGTCAGATTCGATGATCTCGGTGAGCTGCTCCACAACGATTTTCTGATATTCCGGGTCGGCCTTATACCGCTTAGCAAAGTCCATGACCGGGTGTTCCCGGGACGGGATGATCTGGGACATGGCTTCCAATGAGACGTTGGGACGGGCGATGTTGGCCTCGAGAGCGTCCCTGTCGGTCTTTCTGCTGGAAATGGACAGGTAACGAACGCTGGCTTCGTCCTTTTCCGATGTGAGCTGGTTGACCTTGCTCTCGTCGCGGTAGTGGAAATGGGAAGCAATGTTCCGGGAGTCCAGTGTGGCGCCCTGCTTATCCGCGCCCATCCAAGCCAGCAGAAGGTTGATGGTTACCTCGGAAATGGTGGCCGCGGCCGACCGCCTCGGAAGACCTAGACAGACACCCTCAGTGCAAGCCGAGAGGTACAAGAACATGGCAACAACTTCGTCTGTGTGTCTACCACCCGCCTGCTCAACAATGCTGAACACCTGGGCCCGCTTCTCGCCTTCGCCCAGGGTTCGGCAGAGCGAGGTCCAGTCGGCAAAGAGCTTCCCATTCCCGCCGTAAGCGCCAGGCTCGCAGAGCTTGTTCTGCTCCGTCTTCCACAAGCCCGCTCTCCGCTCCGTGTGGGGAGGCGCATCGGCATACAGCAAGACGATGGTCTTCGCCTCCGGGCGCATGAGTTGATGTGCGAGCGCAAGGCCGGTCCTCGCCGCCTCGGGCCAATCACTACCGGCCTGAGGTTTCAGCCTGTCGACGAAGGCCAGCAATTCCGCCTGGGACACCTCCGACTGAGCATTGCGGCTGTGCCATCCCGACCACTCGGTGACCTGTGACATGGTTCTGTCGTAGTCTCGGTACCCGAGAACGCCGATTCGGGAGAAGGAGGCGGTTGTGGCCGAGATGCGGATGATGTCGTTCAACGAGCTCTTAAGCGACACGAGGAAGGAACCCATGGATGATGTGGCATCGGTGACGATCAAAAGGTCGTACTCTTGGGGCGCAGGAGCCGTCTTACAGAGATCCATGTTGCCGATGGCCGTGGCGACGGTAGCTACATCGTTGACCGCCATCTCACTGGTCTTGGACCTCGAAAAGAGGCGAGTGAGTTTGGTGGTGTAATTTTTCATTTATTTTTACAGAAGATATTCGTTGTGGAAGACGGATGGGATGACTGGGTTGGTGTTGTTGTTGATGATGGACGAGGAGAGTACCTCGGTAAGCTGGCAAGTTGTTCCCAAGTTGACATTCGCAATGCCAATATGAAAGAGACGGTAATAGTGAGTAAGCTGGGAGAAAGAAAATACCAAATTTGGTGGGAGAGCTGCCATGTCTTTATATAAAAAAGCAGTCGGTTGAGGACCGCATTGGCACAGATTGCATACAGAACGGCGTGAGTCAACTTTACCTTTCATCCCAAGTCCTCTCTCAATCGCTCAATCCCCCCAATCAAGTTCTCAATTTAGCGTCCTTGAAATGGAGCTTGGCAAGAACAAGGCCACAAGAAAAACCCGTCCTTAACCGCTCACAGGGCCAGTCATCCGGCAAGGTGCCTGATTTGGCAGAATCCTTGTGGTTGTTCTGTTTGTTGGTTGTTGGCTGCAGGTTGGGTTTGTGGTTGAAGGGAACCAACAACACTCGGATTGTTTGGTGGATGTCACAGCCAAGAGTCACTCATACCTTGACCCCACATACCTTACTCAACCCTAACCCCGGAGTCCACGGGTTGTTCTTTACCAGCAGGCTGCACAGTCACACATGCAACCCCAAGCGGGTCTTCCGCAAGGATCGCCGCTGTCTCCAGTGTTGTTCCTCTTCTTCAACGCCGACCTAGTGCAGCACAAGATCGACGCGAACGGAGGCGCAATTGCCTTCGTGGACGACTACACTGCCTGGGTAACGGGCCCGTCAGCGGAGTCGAACCGCACTGGAATCCAAGCTATCATCGACAAAGCCCTTGACTGGGAGAAACGGAGCGGTGCGCAGTTTGAAGGCGAAAAGACAGCCATCATACACTTCACGAGGAACATGGAGCGATTTTCAGAACAACCGTTCTCGGTCAAAGGCGAAGTGGTCAAACCGAAGGAAAGTGCGAAAATCCTAGGTGTCGTGATGGATCGCGAACTCCGCTACAAGCAGCACATTGCTAGGACGGCAGCTAAGGGCCTCGCAGCCGCTCTGGCCCTGAAGAGGCTGAAGATGCTTTCCCCGCGGACAGCGAGACAGCTATTTGTTGCGACAGTAGCCCCGGTCATGGACTACGCTGCCAATGTCTGGATGCATGCGTGCGGGGAAAAAGCACTGAGCTGGCTGAACAGGGCGCAGAAGATCGGGGCCCTGGCCATCACGGGAGCCTTTCGAACCGCGGCAACAGCCGTGGTGGAAGCTGAAGCGAGCATCTACCCCGTACGAGAACGACACGTCCAGGCGGCAGCCAGTCTGTGGATCAACATCCACACGCTGCCCAGAACGCATCCCCTTGCCATGAAGAAAGTCCGGACCACCGTACGATTCGTATCTCCGCTGCAGAAAATTGCCCGCGTGGCTGAAGGAGTACGAGTTGACCGGATGGAGACAATCCAGGAATACGCCGTCCCGCCCTGGGTACCTCGCCTACGACCGACGCTCGAAGCCGATCGAGGGAAGGCGGCCGAGATGGTCAACAAAATCTCGGGAATCGTGATCGCAACCAGCTCATCCGTAAAGAAGGGCATTGTTGGCATGGGCGGCCTTGCACGGGATACTCTCTTCAACAGAACTAGCGAGACTGTGACAAACTATGCTGTTGTTCTTGGGACAAGGGAAGAGCAGAACCCATATACAGCAGAGCTAGCAGCCATCGCAATGGCCCTGGAGAAGTTACCGGCTAGCATCTGCCACAGGCACATCACCGTGATCACGAGGAACCAGTCAGCGCTGGCAGCAGTTGGACAGCCGCGGCAGCAATCCGGCCAAAGCATCATACGGCAAATCTACGACTTGGCCAGGCTGCACCGACAAAGAGGAAACTCAGTCAACTTTCTGTGGATACCAGCGGAGATTGACTTCGCGCTAGGGTCAGATGCCAAGGCAGCAGCCCAGAGAGCGTCGAAGCAAGGACGCACACCCGACTCCCAAATGCCCCAGGCCAAGTCTACCGCGATGAGGCTGGCAATGGAAAGACAACGGACGACAAGAGTTCTACCTGTAGGCGTGGGTAAGTTCTCAAAGGCCATGGACGCAGCACTACCAGGCAAGCACACGCGCCATCTCTATGACAAGCTGAAGCGAAGGGAGGCCTGCGTATTGGCGCAGCTCCGAACCGGAATGGCGAGACTGAACGGTTTTTTGAGCAGGATTGGGGCGGTCGAGTCAGACCTTTGTGCCTGTGGACAAGCGAGGGAATCAGTGGAACACTTTCTTTTCCGATGCGTGAGATGGACAGCTCTGAGGGAAGACATGCTGCAATGCACAGTGGCAAGACGAGGAAGCCTCTCGTTCTATCTGGGAGGGAAAGCGCCATCAGATACAAGGCATTGGTCACCAGATATGAAGGCAGTCCGGGCGACGATCAAATACGCAATGGCAACAGGAAGGCTGGAGCTGAATGAAGAGGAGAGTCTAAACCAGTCACAGTAGAAGAAGCCGACACTCAACACCACGAGCCTCAACCACGAGCCTTAACCAGCAGGTCCCGCTTTAGCTGCTGAAGATAGGACGCTGAACACTTGGAGAAAGTAGCCTCCAAGCTGATCTGCTAACAACAACCAAGGCAAGAGGTAAATGGTGCAGCGAGAAAGAGGGAAGAAGTAGGGGGCTTGTACGAGTTAAACGCAAAACGATCTGATCCGGATGTAGCTAGCGTGCTAAGGCCCTATAGGCCCAGTGCCTCCGGGCGAAATAAATTCCATCCATCCATCCATCCACACATGCAAGTTGCAATCCATCACAGATGCCATGGCACACGGCTTCGGCACCGGCATCGATTATAATTAAGTATTAGCATTAGTAATAGAGCCCTCGTCTCGTGTGCAACTCACGAATGGACAAGACCTAAACATCAACCATGTTGCCCGGGTGAGGCGACACTCTCCCTCTCGATTCCCCGTCATCCGAAAGAGGTGACACATCCCCAGGGCCTGCCCCAGGTTGCATGCCAGCCCCCGCCTGCCCCGCGCTCGGGTTCCCTTCCCGTCTAAGATCCGCCATTTCGAACCCCTCTCCAACTGCCGACCCTTCCCTTCTCCTCTCAGCGCTTGCCTCCATCATGTACTGTTCGTGCACCGACATGGGCGGCCCCAGGGCCGCATCTGACCCGGTCTTGGAATATGCCGGAGGAGGGGTGGGGCCGCGTGAACCCGTCCCGAAACCAAAGCTGGTGTCTCCCGTGCCGCCTCTGCGGTGTCCGCGGCCCCGGCCAGGCCGGCGGAATAACAGAAACCAGAGAGCGCTGACAATGATAACAACGGCGACAGGGACGATGATGCCGATTGCGATTTGGGCTGGGTGCGTGAGGCCCCCTTGCGAGGGGGCTGCCGAGGCTGTTGAAGTAACCCCAGGAGGTGAAGGGCGATCGGTTATTGCTGGGGTGGTAACAACCGTAGTAGAGTGTGCCGTAGGCGATGGAGCCCTTGATGTTCGCGTTGTGGATATTGTCGTAGTGCTGCTTGATCCGGTTGACGACGGCAAAGGGGTCGTGGTTGTTTGAGTGGGGAGAGTCGTTGTCGTCGGCGCAACCGAGCTCGGCGCCGGACTGACGCAAAACGGCGACAACGTGTCGGGCCCCATACACGTCTGTCCGTCTGCACAACAAACAGAACCGCATTGGAAGTCGCCGACGGCGCACACCCGCGCGCAACCAGCTTCCGCGCCTGCAGGGCAGCAAAAGAAAGCCCCGTTGTCGACAGAACATGTCTCACCAGCGCTACCTAGATACGCGGAGAATGGTTAGCCATGTTGTCTCTTACGAACCGGAGCAGCCGACTTACAACACCAGCCACCTTGAGGACATGTCGTCTCGTCGGCGCCGCAAGTAGTCCCCTCCGTCTGACGGTTCCTTAACGACGCTCCCCGAATGTGGAATTCTGAGCCCGCAGGCCAGGCAGAATGAAAGAGGAACGCAGCGGGCCGTACTGCACCCTCTGGTTGACGGAGAATTTGGCCTGGCATCCTCGCCAAGTGGTCGTCACGGCCTGCCTAATGAGCGAGAAAATCGGTATAGCGAGAAGGTAGGACGGTATCCCGGAAGCTGGGGCCAAGGCGCAAGATAAACCAGCTCACACCCGTCTCCAATCTGCTCCGGGCCATGTTGATCGTGATGTTGGACTGTGTAAGTGCGCGGGAAGCCGGGCTGCCGGGGTGGCGCCGAGTGGTCGATCATCTCTGGAGTGGCGCCTCGATCATCGTGGGGGTGGGCCAAGATTGGCCAGCATCGGACTTGTTTGCCGGGCTGCAGCTGTCGGTGATTTGAGATGTGCTTGGCAACCATATCTCCTGCGTAGTCAGAGTGATCATCGTGAGGAGCCGTGGGGTTTAAATCAAGGGATGCCGTTTGCTCCGAGGCCGCGAAGTGCAAGGCTTTCCATGAGCATCTCCATCCGTGTTTTGTCCGATTGACGTAAACCCTCCGACCGATGCTACGATGGTTGAGGTTAGTGGATGCTGTCGATGCCATCCCCAGGGAGGCTAGCCAACCCGGTAGTGGGGATGGGATGAATGCGCGCTTGTTGGTTGCGGCAAGAGACTTTGCAATTTCCGCTGCGACGGATGCAAACAAGGTGTGTTTGCGAAGGAGCTGGGGGTTTACATAGTGGTAAAACCTGGGCTAGGTAGTTAGGTCCCCAATGTGCGCTCTGTTTCGGCGAGCATTTAGCTGGCTGTGGGGTCAATTCATCTTTTGAGAGAAAAACTGATGAGCTTGACAGCAAAACTGATGAATTCGGTAGTTACCTACAGGGTTTGCAGGAAAGCTTGAACTTCAAAGGCGGCCTGCGCCAGACAGGCACACAGGCTCAATATGGCTCGTGCACCGCAGCACACCCTTGGCAACCTGGAAATGGAGCTCGGGGTCTGGGCCGCCCTTGCACCAGTATCGATTGGTCCCAGCTCTCCAGCAGCCGAGGAACGTGCAAGGATGGGTCAAAAAACCTGAGGAGCAACTCCAAGCCATACGCAGAGACTTAGCGCCGCCCGCCCAACACTGCGACACTTGCGCCTTGGTCATCGCGAAACATCACCAACATCCCACCATTTATCGGTTCGAATTGTTCAATTTGAGGCGGGAATTCCTTCCTTATGAACCGACCGCGCTAGTTCCCCCCTGCGCGGGAGCCATAGTCACTTTTTGACCTTCCTGTCATTCATTATTTTTTGCGACAACTTTGCTCCAATTCTTTTGCCTCGGGGGCTTCTTGCGACTGCGGACCACACGACGTAATGGGGAACTGCTCTTCCTGCCTCGGCAACCGCCGTCGCGATGAATACGATGAGGTGTGTGCCATCGCCTGGGACTTGATGATGGACACCAAGACTAACTAACCGTTTCCGCGCAGGAGGAAGACGAAGCCCGACACCTCTTCGACGATCCCAACAACCTCAACTATAACAGCTTCGACCAGCAACATATGATGGGCCAGGAGGATCCACAGGAGGTCCAAAGAGAGATTGAGGCTCTACAGAGGGTAGTGGCGCGCACATCTGAGTATGCCACCCCTCACCTCTCACCCCTCCCGTTCTCCGGGTGGCCCCGTTGCCCCCGCTCCCGGTTCCACGGCCTTGGGACGATGCATGGCTAACCTAGTTGCACAGTGCCATGGTCGACATATACGAGATCGTACCCCAAGACAAGGCCGCCCAGACCGCCCCAGGCCCCTACGTTTATGTCGGCCAGGACGCCACCACTGTTCGGTACCAAACACTTCTCTCAAAGCTCTCATCCCACGACGACCTCCCTTCCGTAGCCCGCGTTGATTGGGGTACCCCGGACGACGACACCATCGAGATGCAACAAGGGGTTATGCCCATCAAGGTCGAAGGGGGTGACAGTCTTGTTGGCAACTTTGCCGATGCTGCGGCCGCCATGCTCTAATGCGCTCCCGCCGCGCCAAAATACCGCGCTCGCGACCAGCTGACGGGCTAGTGGACGGGCACGCGCCCATCTTAGCATGTGGACGGGCCTGCTGACCCGTACCGGCTGACGCCGTTCCGTTCCCTCGGTATCTTCGCGCCCACCCCACCCGCGGCCGGCGCGCCCAAGGCCCGACCCCCATCCGTCCATGTTTCCACGAGAATTCGGCGAGAGTAAAACGTGAAAAGGCGGGGCGGCCTGGTTGGAAAAAGTTGATGATACCCATGAAGGCAGGATACCGCCTCTTTTTTCGTTTCAATTCTGTTTTGGTAAAGGACATGGCATGGCGTCCTAGCACTCTGGTGGTGTGGAGGCCAGGGGATATTGGAAGGATGTGCCATGCAGTCCGTACCCGTCCGTCGTACTGCACAATTCAATCAAGAAGCTCCCTTTTGTCGTTGACTGGCCCTTATCCAGCCCTCTACCAACCAATCAAGAGCTCATCGTGCGGGTCACGCTAGGTAAACAGGGTATGTGCGAGGTCACACGCCCATATGCCACCAGCCACGTGCATAAGGGATGGGGACGCCCCATCACGGCGGGGACTGTTGTATAAACAAGGCCTCTCTCCTGCTCCCATGAACTCGAGAGCGTCCGTTGTCGGCGGCCACCGCTTTTTATCTGCTTGGATAGGGCGTGAGCCCTGTCCCCTCCACCCCCCGGGGTCCACGGCTCGTCACCTATGTTCGGCAATCTACTAACAACGATGCCACCCTGACTTTGGCGACACTAGCTCGGACGATAAGGGCCTGACGCGAGACGCTGGATGTGGCTCGTCCGTCACTGCGTATTAAGCGACCTACCTACAGCCCGCAGATGGTTATCGGGAGAGGAACGGGGGTCGCCACGAATCGAGAGGGGCGGGGCGAGGTCCGGGGCACAAGGACGCGGGATGACCACTAGACTGGGAAGGATATGCAACAGACGAGGGCAAGCGCGCACAACGCAGCCAAGAGGTCACGTCACTCAGCTCTCCCCTCAGCAGCCACCGGGTGCTTCCAGGGAGGAGTACAAGCAGAGCGGCCCAGACTGCTACCCGCCACTCTCGGACCCCTACCCTGTCCCACCCACACTTGGAGTGCTCCCCCGGCCTTCTGGCCTGCGTCTGGCGGCTTGTCTTCCCCAGAACGCGTCTCCCGGCCTGTCAAAACCTCACGGACGCTGCCTAAACAAGCAGAACGGGCGTCTATCGGTGATCTTTTTGGCTGAGACCGTTCCCGCGCCGCCGCGGCCACCTATCAGCTTTAGGCCACAGAAAACCCCGGGGTGTTCTGCCCGTCGCTTCTTGCCTCCTTCCCTCCTGTTACGATGTTCTCTCGGTCATCCCCCCGCCCCTCCGGAAGCGAAGAAATCCGCCCGCCCACTGCCAGCTCAGCATTCCAGTGTGAGACATGGCCAACGCCGCCCACGCTACATACGCGCCCCCTCACCCAGCTCTGTTCCTTCCATTTGCCCAGGCCCCCCCATCTGCCATGTTCTCTCACCGGCTACATGTGTTACAGTGGCCTGCCAAATACGGAAACTCGGCGGACCTACCTCTGACACCGATCACCGGGAGCGGGGCATCCAGAGGCTACCGCCCACGGTGTTCTCTTTCCCGCTCATATTTTGGCCACAACACCCCACGTCATCGTCCTGCCGACAAACCCGATGGTGGGGAGGGGAAGCCAGTGGGATCGCTCCCGGCTCTGCAGTCTGATGTTCCGCTTTCTGGGCAGTGGAAGTCTGCTTCCGCCTTTCTGCACTCTTACTCATGCTCGCCTGCCTCTGAGGATTCGAAACGAGAGCTTCCCCGCGGTGGCGGACACGGGGGATTATCGAGAAAGGGGCACAGGGATCTGGGTTCAGCCATGTTCAAAGCGGTTTTGCCCTTTGGTTCCCCTCGGCTTGTCATGTCGGGCGTCAGCGGGAGGACACCTCGCCGATCAGCGGAACTGGTGGCAAGGGCCTTTGTGAAAATTGAGTCTCTTTTGTAGTAGCATCTCGTAGCAGTAATCTCGAAGCTGTCTTTTCCCTAGCCTTTCCGTCGGAACCCCCATTGCTGAGGAAAAAGTCCTGTGTCCCTTTGCCAATTCTTGCCATGATCCCCAGACCGTGTGATGAACATCGTAAAGCTCCCGAGCATGAGAAACATGAAACGCGCACTCGTTGAGAAAAGGAAATGACAAAACAGAACGGTTGCCCTTCTGGCTCCCGGGTCCTGTCGAAAGCACCTTGCAGCAATAGTGCAGATTCCGGCATGCAGTCCCCCTTGGCCGTCCACCTCCCCGTCTCCCCTTTTTCGAGTAACAATGGGGTCCGTGGTCCGTCTTCGAGTCCTCTAGGCCCTGAAACAAGGGGAAAAAAGAAACTAAGGAAAACATAAGGAATGAAATCGTCGCCTTGCTCTTCCCTCCGTCGCAAGCCCCACCCTTTTTGCTCACCCCGTCCCTGACCACTCATGGCGAATCTTCCGTTCGCCCCTTTTCCGGAAGGACCTCATCCTGGTCCCGGCAAGGCACGGTGGCACATGCCGTTTCAGCGCTGCCCGTGGGAGTCATTCTCTCTCCATGGTACCACAGCTTGAGCTACTGGCTCTCAGCTTCGGAGCTCTGTGCTCGTTCCAGCATCTCCGTCTCTCCTTCACACTGCCCTATAGCCGGCCGTTTGTGCCGCTCGCTTTCAGCGTCTCTCCGCCCTACTCCTTTCCGGGCCCCCTCTCTTCTCCCCCGCTCTCTTTTCCGTCCCGAATCGATACACTCACTGCCTGGCCCGACAGCCCAAAACGAGCCAAAAAAAGAGAAGACTACACGGTAAACGACCCAAGAACGAAAAGAGAACCCCCCCCCCCCCCCCCCCCTAATAATTAAAAAAAAGCCTCCTCACCTCATGCTCCCCCCACAGCGGGGGAATCTGGATATTCAGCGCGAAAATCTCCTTCTCCGTCTTCTCAATCGTGGCGCGGCGGTTGGCCTCGGCGCGCCAACGGCGCAACTCAGAGCTCCATCTTCTCCACGCGCCCCCTCTTGGTCAACATCTGCTCGCAAGTGCCGGCACTGGCTTGGGCTCGAGGTAGGTGTTGAACACCAGCTTGAGCCCGCACGTCTCGCCCGTCCGGTACTCGCGCGTGCACTGCTGTCGGAAGTGGCCCCACTTCCACCAGCCGCAGGGCCAGATTAGTGTGTTCGAAGTAGCACATGGTTGGGTGGTGGTGTAACTGGGGGTTGTGATGTAGGTGAGAGTTCGTTTGTTTTCTCTTTTCTGTGTTTCGGTTCTTCTCTCTGTCTCGCCTTGTATTGCGTGCGTGTCTGTTGTTTTGTTTCACACTTTTGTTGGTTTGGTTTCTTATTTCTGTCAAGATTTGTTGCTTCCCGTGGCTGTCCCCGTCCAGGGGATGTTGTGTCGTAGCCCGCGGAATTATGGTTCGATGCTCAGGGGTTCTGGCCTCGACGGCCCTGTCGGCTCGATCGTGGCTTGCTTTCGCCTTCCCCGTAGAGAACGCGCACGACGAAAAGCGTCGGATGATTGTTCGAGATGCTGGCCCCGCGTCTAACCGAATCGGAACGAAGCAATGTACTGGTCAGCTTGGTGTTCTTTCCCCCCTTGCTCAATGGCATGCTTTCAACCCCAGGGCGCCCGCTTGCCATTGGGGTGTCACAACGGCGTGGTTGCCTGGTGCTGAACAAAAGCCCTTGACTCACCTCGTGGGAGGCCTTGTTGGCAGCTGGTGATGGAGTAGACACTGGCGCTCCAGGGACGCGGTTTGATAATCGGAGAGGTTGACGTCTCTCGGTGACCTTAACAGGTATGAATGTCGTCCTTTATGTCTTATGTCGTTGTTGATTTGCCGCCGCTGGGCTGTGGTGATTCTGCCGTGAGGCGAATGTTTTGTATCGATGCAATGATGTCGCCGTCTTGGTGTCGAGGTCAGTGGTGTGGTGGAGCTCTTCCGTGTTGGACCTCGAGGGTCTGGGACAGATCTTATACTCGGCACGTCGTCGTCCCCGTCGACTCCCCAAAGGGGTGAAAGTGTTTGACTTTTGGCAGCTGTCCATGTACCAAGCGGTGTCAAGGATAGATGGTGAGAAGAAACGGTCGGCCAAGAAGAAGATGTTCCCGTCCACGGAAGCCGAGCTGGTATGTACTGTACAATTCCTTCTCCTACCCCCTGGGCCCCTCCCGGTATGATGTATCCTCCGCCCCCCCCCCCAGTCCGCCCATCGTCAATCACGCTTCCGATCACACGTCGAGCAAAAGGTGTGCGGCGTGCCTGCCCGTCAGCCACAGGGAAACATGCGCGATGGCACCCTTGCCCGGCAAATTACCCCGTTGTCCTGGGCCCCACCCAGGTCTGCTCTGGGTGGACGGCCGCCATAGGAGCCACGTTGTTCGTGGCCTCATTAGCCAGGGGTCGAGCACACACACAGGCGCGGGCTTGTCCACCGCGCCATAAATTCATACATACAGACCCATTTGTAGGTACCACTCCACATTAATACACGCTTGGTTTGAGACAGGGCTGCGTGGGTACCGAGGTGGTCAAATCAGGAACCGACTGCCCATTGATATCGAAGGGGGCAAACTTATCGTATGTACCGCATCACACCTCCCTCCCCCCCCGTTCGGCATCGTCAAGCCCCCTGCCATTGGGCCGAGGTCTGGGATGCTAGCCGTGTCGGGTGTCCGTCTTGCATATTCTACTCAACAAATTCTTTCTTTCTTGCCCGTTTTGTGCCGGTCTTCCTGCATACACGCACAGCGCGTCTTCGCCCTAGTAGCAGGCCCGCCTTGTCGCGACCCGTGGCGGCCAGGACAGATCAGAGCCCAATGAGCGCAGGGGGGGTTTGGCTTGTTCGTATCTATTGGTACCGTTCGGTCCCTTTTTGGCTACCAGCCTACCCCGCCGTCTAACAGCAGAAACCTTCGCCTTGTGGACCACCGACAGAGGATCTACCCGTTCAAACCTTGCGCAGGTGCTGCCCCGGCTAGGCCCCTTCCGGGTCGGCCCACATGGCAACATCTGTTCGGCTAGGCTGGGTCAAGGTGGCCGCGACCTGGGCCGGAGAGGGGCAGGGGGGGGGGAGGGGGTGTCTCATCGGGGACCAGGGGAGCGGCCGCCACCAAACAAGAAACAGAGAGATTATCTTTTTTGGGCCTATATTCCTGTAGGGCCGAAGTGCTGAGGTACTGTGTAAATAGGTGGTGTGGATCGTCTGCTTGGTTCCCCGTCCAATACCCCCCCTTGATTGCCAAGTTAGGTGTAAATCAAATAGTCTCTTGGCATTATCGGCTTCAACGACCACGGCCCTCCCGCTCGCACGGAACAATGCCTGTAACGATGGATTACTTATACATGCTCCCCGCAAGGATTCCAGCAATCAACATGACTCTGTCAAGCGAAGTAGCCATGCCTCGGCTCGCCTCGCTACAGCTGGCGATGCTCGTAAGTAGGCATACCACTACGGGATCTGACTCTGCCACACGGGTCCGGCCGCCCGTTTTTCGGACTCGGTCGTGATTGGATTCCCGCATTCTGCTGCAGACCGGATCGACAGGCAGAAGCCACTCGGAAGTGTGCCTGGTAACACTGGAGTGGTGGTGGCGGCCGGGTGCAGTCGAGCCCGCATCCCGATTCTGTCATTATACTGCTCATGTAAGCAAGGGCGGCTGGCTTCGGCTGCTGCCAAAAGCGGTCTCATCATGCTTCCACTTCGTTAGAAAGGGGAGTTGTTGTCTGATCTCGATCATGGGTATTAAGCGGCTGAAGGTTGATGTTGCCGTACTGCCCCCGCCGGCAAGCCAAGCTGTTTCCGCAAGAGCCCAAGTATACCGACTGAGTGTGAACCCCCACAATCTTTCTGTCCTTAGAGCCCGACGGACGGATTGACCAACTGGATTGGCTGCTTTGGACACCCTAAGGCACGTCGGTTGCAACCATGCTCCGCTTCCACGGGCAGAATGACACAAACCAGCGGCCGTTGAGCAGGGTCCGGTCGCAGGAACTTCCTCTCACATGAACTGCTCCCCATTTTTCAAGGCTCGGGCCCCCGCTCACACGGCCGCCGACTCATGGTGCGGGTTCGCTTCTCTAGTTAGCGACTCCAGGATGAACTCCACACGACCTGTTCGCCTCAACGGGAGGTTCATGGGCGGGATAAGTGACGTGGCGGCTCATGAGTAGCCAGTCCTTGTCCCGGCCAATGTTCGAATTCATTCCTCTGTGGTCTCTAACCGGCATAGTCCCACGGATTGTCGGGCTGGTTTCGGACAGGGTAGCACGCCGTGGGTAGTCCCAGTGACTTTCTAGAACGCCCTCTGACATTCCATGCGTGTAGCGAAACCCGCTTGTACCGACCGTCCAGGGTACTTCAGATTAGGCTGACTGGGACATGGGTCGGCAGGAAACAAAGGGAAACACATCGCCACCTGTCGAGTGGGTGCCCGCTAGACGGACCCCCTGCGCGGTGCTGGCTACGGGGACAGGCCGCGATCGCCGACGCACCCGATGCACGGCCAGGTGTAGATCGGACTCTTGCGTGCGGCTGGGCCGCAGTGGAGGAGGCCAGAGGCAGGCATGAAGTGCGAGAGACAAATGCGCAAGTCATTTGTGCCGTCACTTGACTTGACTCTCTCTGAGCTGTTATTGTCGTTTGTGGCTTGAATGGACGAAAAGGGACAGCGACGGCCCGGTTTGGTTGACTGGCCAGCTCATCGGACGATCCACCATGGGGGCGGTGACTTACACCTCATCTTGCTTCCTGTGGGGTGATGAAAGCGGGATGACCACAAATGGGACGGTAAGGCCGTTTTGCTGGCAGACCGGGTCGGGCAATAGCCGGTTCAACTTCCGGGCGTGCCGGCATTGCTCGCCCTCCCTTCCCGTCGAAAGGCAAGACAAACTAGTAGGGGGGGGGCCCGTGAAAGCGGCCCCGGCGAGACGAAACTGACTGTGTTGTCGCCGGTTTCGTTTTAGCGACGCTGGCATGCGGCCAGAGTTTGAATGAGGCTGAAACCCCGGGGCTGTTTTCCTTGAATACGGAAATCGGAGTAGATGCCGAAGACGTGAGGTAGAGAGGCTGTGTTGCAGCAGCTTGCGGCACAGGTCTGAAATCTGGAAACGGAAGGAAACAATGAGGGGCGCGATGAATCAATCATGTTGCCGCGACCCCGTAGGCGGCCGGGTGGAGCAAGAGTAAGAGACGCAGGGGTCAATGTAAACATGGCCTCGAGACCGGCCGGGTATTCTTGAGAGGCCTTACGGAGCTCAGCCACCCTTGCCTAGTTCCACAGCGAATTCGAACGGTGAGAATCTGTCGACCCACGTCTTCATTTCAATAGTATGATCTTGAATGTCCAAAGACGGGAGCGGCCCGTTCCCCTCGGGGAGTCGGGTGAATGATGCCTACTACTTGTTTTGGCAATTCTTTTGTCCTGTTCTCTCGGGAGGACGTTCCATACGCTGGTGTGCTGGCCAAGATTTGTCATTGGAGCGTGGTACATGTACTGGCCTCCAGAAATAAAGCCTATGTATGCCAACCTGCGCGGCGTTGCTGAGCTATCATAGACTTGGCCCGGTTTAGTGTTGGACTGGCGAGGTGTGCTCCAGCTGACATCGTCGGGTGGGGCGGGGGAATAGCGAGTTCTCGGCAAGAACTGGATGGTCGAGTCGCGGACATGCCACAAACACTATTGAAGAGGTATTTCTTGAACTGTGATGGCATTTCTCGGGCATTGACGGTGAGGACCTAAAACCGTTGACCCTGTTGACCCTGTTGACCCTGTTGACCCTGTTGACCCTGTTGACCCTGTTGACCCTGTTGACCCTGTTGACCCTGTTGACCCTGTTGACCCTGTTGACCCTGTTTGGACTTAAACACCAAGGTGAATCGGGCTACAGTCGATGGTCAATGCACGTATGACGTTGATATTGAAGGACAGGGGAGGCGGATTTAGCTCGAGGCGGCGGGCTGAAGCGATCGACTCAGCGTTCAAAGACAGGGGTGCTACAGGGCCCCCCGCGGGAATGCGGGTGCGGAAAGGTGTGTTTGGGGAACAGCCTCAAGGGGAGACGATAGACGTCTCTATTGGCCGGCCCAGACTTGAGGGAGGGCGGGCCACAGGAGGGCCGCAACCCGAGCCCGCGGCGGTTGTCAATACATGTCCCGCAAACACCGAGCGAGGCTGCGGAATCCGCGTTTCCCCAAGCTACTCGTCGCGCTCAAGGGAAAGCCTTTCCTGCCGCCGCGCGAGGCTTCTGTTGATTGAAGGAGGACTCGCGGCGCAGTATCCGTAACCCCTGCCGGCAACCCTCCCACAATAGCCGGGCGTGTGAGCCGGCTGCTTGCGTCGGACCGCGGGAGATATCCGCGTCGAGCACAACTCAGCAAGTACCGATTTGCCAGGGTCGACAGGCGGATTCCGCACAACCAAACCCTAAACCTACACCGATTTTGTTCGTTGTCGCGAGCCCGATGGCGCTAGCACCGGGCCATTCATCGGGCTTCAGGCTGGTGTTCTCCGGTTCAGTCCGCCCGCCATTTCCCCTTCTGGAACAGGCAACGCTGAGGGTGACAAGGAGGTTGTGGCCGCATTGTTCGAGGCCAACCCCGCCGATCCAACGTCACACGTCAGTGGCCGTGATCAAGCCGAACTTGGAGAAAGGTGATCGTGTTCATGGCGAAAAGCGGGCGTGTTCGAGGACGTGGGGAGATGTGGGGAGACCATTAGTGGTGATGTCAGGCATCAACTGATCGAGGTCACAGTACTTGAGGGTCGATAAGCGATGTATTCGAACCTGTTGGCGTTATTTTTTATTTATTTATTCTTTTTTTGTTAACAGGAAAATGCAGGTGATAACGAGCTAACGGGAGGTGAGATGTGACGAACCCAAATTGACGAGACCCAGCAGAGGTAAAGCCCGCAGGAGATGCGCATGGCAGCGACCAGCAGCACAGCAGCACAGTAACTCCACACCAAACCCACGCTGTGGATCTGCTGCGACAGCGCAGGCGTGCAGCAAACCCCTGCAGGTCGCCCTGGCAGTGATGTTCGCAATGCGGTTCCTCCCTACGTACACCAGACGCACACCATTCGCAGTTTCGACCGAATGCGGAAGTCCAGTGGGGCATTACCCGCGAGAAGCGTTTTTTTCTGATTCGCTGAGAGGACCTTGTCAGGGAGCGTTTGTCTGGAACTTTGAGGCTTGGGGAACCGGCCGGGTTATCCGAGTGGCTTCCTGGAAATGCCGAGCTACAAACTGGAAAAAGATTTAGATTTTGCATTTGCGGAGCATCATAACCACCGATTGCTCTCTCCTCCTTACAATGGGCTCTTGTCGTTCGCAAGGAGCACTGGCTGTTTGCTGTTGCTGGCTCTGAGCCGCGAGGGCAGGCAAGGCACCAGCCTTGTGTGAAGACCCGCCTTCCGCTTTGGGACGAGCCCACACGCTTGCACCGTGCGTGTCCGGACTGTAGCCAGGTACTCTGCTCTACGAAAGCAAGGGACGACCTAAGAAACGACTGAACTGGTGTGATATCTGAATTTCAGTCTGGTTCAGATGACGTGGCTCCGAATCAACGGTTGTAATTTTGTACAAAGTAGCTTAATAACTTCACAACATGGTTAGAATGCGAGAGTGGTTGCGGAAGCTGCACGAGCTTCACACTGTCCTGAGACACTCGACGGCAAGGGTCGGCTGTCGTGCCTGCCGCTGAATTAGGTGCTCTCGTCTCATACTTGCCCCTTGCATTGCGGTCACTTGCGTAATCCTGTGCTTCGCACCTGCGACCGTGACACTACCACGAGCTGCTGCCTTTGCGGTTGCGTGTGCTTGAGTTGTGGCCGATGTCATCTGCGACGAGCATTGGCAGTCTTGAAAAATGATCGTGAAAGGTCCCTACCTTTCAGGTTCGGTTTACAATACCAATCCGTTCTCTGTTCTTGAATTCACTTCGGACTCGAAGCTCCCGTCTTGACATTGCGATTGTTCAAGTCCGCACGGAACAATTCCGCCGGTCTCGTTGTCGACAAACCCATCGGCTCGCTGTTCCTACCCTTCACGGTCCATAAGTTTCCGATCCTGCGGCAGTACTGCGAGCACACACATGATCTGATAGACAACTCAACTCCGGATTACGAGGTACCACTTGCGGCAACCCTCTATGTACTTCAGCCTGGCTTTCCACCCCCAGCCACCGTCTTGCTGAGTTTTCATTGTGCGGCCAAATCGGCGGCCACCCCTCCGGGTTTCTTGCTTGACGCGATCCTGTTTAGCCGCGCCGAGAATCCCCCCTCGGGACTGTTGTACGCGCTCTACGCGCTGGCCGGCAGAGGAGCGTGAGACATCCGCCCGAATCGGAAACAATTTCTGCAGTTGGCGACTTTGCAAGGCTAGACGGGCGGCAACGCGACAGGAAACCGCGGGGCAATCTGAGCCTGTAACCTGACGTGACTTACACTCGGCTTGCCTCGTTCGTTCGGCGGCCGACAGTGAAAGTAACAACTCAGACGGGCACACCTCACTCGTTGCCAGGTCATCAGGGAACTTGGAGAAGCAAAAGCAAGTCGCCGTTTTTAGAAAGATCGTGGCATCCCTGGCCGGGTTTCGCTCACGATGGCGTCACCACCCATGCGAGCCGGGCAACAACAGGGCCAGCACGTCCTAGATCTCCAGGATATGGACGGAGGAGGCGCGGATCTAGACTCTACGGTTGGCATCCAGCTCATCGCCAAGGCCAGGAGGCTTTCGATCGCCTCGGGACCCAGGTGCGAAGTGGAGGTCTTCGCGGGCCCGGCGGACAGCGATCGCCCACTAGCTTCGAAAACACCAGCATGTTCTTCAAATGCCAATGCCCAACCATATGCAGCCACGCTGGGGGAGTGGCGAGAAGACTCTACCCCCGCGATCACAGCGACGGGAGCTCTGGTGACGGTGACAACTGCTCCATTCTCTTCGATGATACCGACTTGTGCTGGAGCTGGGGTTGTCGATGGGGATGTGAACGTTGCTGGCGTGAGTGTAGTCGTACCGACGCGAAACT